CTATTTCTTTGCATAGGATTCTCTTGCAGGGTTAGTTAGGGGGTCTCAGCTGCTGGAATTGGACTCCGCTGACAAAGACCACACCCTCCTAAGGTCAGTCAGTTAAATCAAATACTTCATCGTATAGCCTATCTTTCACTTTCCTCACTCGAAAGTGTTTGCAGTATTTCCCACACTCAGCAGTACATAAGAAAAAAAGAAAGAAAAATAGAACCAGGGAGGCGGCTCAGTCTATAAAGCACTTGCCTCGCCAGGATGTTGACCTGCTTCCAGTCCCCAGGACCCGTGCAGAAAAGCTGAGCACAGTGATACACGCTTGAGGTTGATCTCTACCCCCCACCACGTGCATGTGCAAGCATGAATGCACGCGCGCGCGCACACACACACACACACACACACACACACACACACACACACACACGGACACCTTCCCTCAGTCCTTCAGGAAGATGAATTTGACCACTGAGGAAGGCCACATAGAAAATGAGAGATCCCGAAAAGCAGTTGAGATGTGACAACATTTGAGAAGGGGTGATGGGTCGAGCTTTCTTCTAGGCCATCCTGATGTGGGCAGATGGCTCCTCTGCACACAGTCCTCTGACTTGGGCACCAGAGGAAAGATGCTGTACCACCCCAGAGCAGTTTCCTCGGTAATAAATGTTTCCCTCAATCAGCGCGTCTTCCTTCCTCACAGCAATTACAGGAGCCCCACTTCTGGTTTACTAGCGTCCTGTCACGCTTGATTGATGGCTTGCCCTTCTGAGCCCACAGATGCACTTAGAAGCCTGTGAATCAGGCTAATTATTCAGTGCTGTAGGAAACAGTCCCAGCATCCTGGCTTCATAGCCACGTGCCCGAGGAAGTCTTCAAATAGGCTGCTACTGCAGAATATAATGTTGAAGGTTTGGGTTTGACCGATAGAATTTTCCTGAGCTGGTTGGTGCATACTAACGCCTGCAGTAACACAGTTAGAGGGTCATTCCTCTGACTTGCAAACAGCTTTTTAAATCCCCCTGCCAATAACTGGGGAATCCTAAAATTATGCCCCCTTATGATGGAGTATTATGCAGTGTGGCTAAAGCTCCTGTCACTAGGCTGTCCTGGCATTTAGAACAGCTTTAAATGTGACAGAGGCTAGTAACTCCAGACACTCCTTCTCTCTGGCTCTGGGAAAGGCTGTGAAGACTGGAAACTTCAGGCACAGCTCATTCTTTCATAGACTAGGAGGCTTCACTCTCTGGTCTTCTCCCCTCCCCCCCCCCCTTTTTTTTGGTCAGGGGTCCTTTTAAAAACCCCAATCAACTGAACGTGGTGGCACATGCCTTGAATCGCAACACTTGGGAGACAGAGACAAGTAGATCTCTGAGTTCATGGCCAGCCTGGTCTACAGGGCAAGTTCCAGGACAGCTAGGGCTGTGCAGAGAAACAAAGCCTGCTCTGGAAAACAGAACAAACAACCACAAAAAACCCAATCTATGTCAGCATAGATTTTTTTTAATTATTGTTTTTTTATTGTGTGTGAACATGAACTTGCTGCCTGTGGAGATCAGCGTCACATTTCTGCCCCCTCCTGGGACATTGGACTGTTTCAGCTGTAAGGGCCAAATCCTTCCCATTCTACATGAAATGTCACCCTTGCTTGCTTCATGTATGTTTTATGAGAACACCTAGGCATGGATATTTATTCAAGCAGCTTGGAGTATATTTCTCTTTTCTCCTGTTCTGACTCATATAAAAGAAGTGAGGAAATGCCCCACGTCATAGTTTACCTACAATGGCTTCTGCCTTTTCCCTCCCTCTCCCAAGGTCACATAGCTGAGTCATCAACCGGATGCAAAGCATTGCCTGGGTTTGCATCAGCTGGCAGCAGGACCTAGGCCTTGTACTGATGAAACACAACTGTTTATTTTGCAACGTCAGCCTTCCTAAACAATATATCAATGTCATCTGGTTGTTGCCTGATTACAGTCCCTGTTCAGTGGCTGCCTGGGCCAACTCCCTATCCCCTTTGGACTTAACTGGGAACCACAGTTCCTCCCCTCCCCCACCTTTTCCTATCTCAAAGCCTCGAACTCTTTACTTTTACTTTTGTGTATATGTGTGTGTGTGTGTGATGTATGCACACATATGTGTGTGTTCTTGTTCATGTGTATGAGTGTGGGTATATGTGTGCCACAGTATGTGTATGTAGGTCAGAGGACGACCTCAGGAGTCAGTCTCTGCCTTCTATCTTGTTTGGGACAAGGTCTCCTTCTTGTTCACTGCTAAGTAAGCCCATGAGTTTCTGGGTATTCTCTGGTCTCCTCTTCCCGCTTCACCATAGGAGAAACTCATGCTGCCGTGCCCAGCTTTTCTGTTGGTTTTGGGCATCCAAGCTAAGGTCCTCACCCTTGCATAGCAAAAGGTTTGCCAGCTGAGCCATCTCCCCAGTCCCACCCTCAAATTCTATTAAGTGTCGTCTCCACTGCAGACCAAAGTGCATCTAGAAACAGGGATTGCCATGAGCTGCTTTCAGTGTCAGATTGAACATCATTAAATGGCAGCCTGCAGGCTTCTACTTTCTGACTTGGGCCGGTAATCCTGCTTCATTCTGCCATTTACTCAATAGTAACAATTGTTGCTGTCCTTGGGTTTTTTGTTTGTTTGTTTTTGGTTTTTGGAGACAGAGTTTCTCTGTGTAGTTTTGGTGCCTGTCCTGGATCTCGCTCTGTAGACCAGGTTCGCCTCGAACTCACAGAGATCCGCCTGCCTCTGCCTCTGAGTGCTGGGATTAAATTAAAGGTGTGTGCCACTGCCACCAGGCTCCTTGGTGGTTTTGACATGTGAAGTGTGAAAAGGCACCTTTGTCTGGATGGAGCTGAGGGTTCATAAGAGGAACAGAGTACTAGCTAGGTGGGTGTACTTTGTATGTGTGGGTATGTGCACATGTGTGCATGTGGAGGTCAGAGGTCAACATTAGCTGTCCTTCCTCAGAAGCCATCCACTTCAATTTTTTTTATTTTGAGGCAGCTTCTCTCAAACTCAAGAAGTAGGCTAGGCTAACTGGCTGTGGGGCCCCTCGGGGATCTGCCAGTCTCTACCTCTCCAGCACCGGGATTGTAAGTGTGCACCACCATGTCCAACCTTTTTGTGTATAGTCTGGGGGCTTTGAACTCAGCACAGCAAGCATATTACCAACTGAGCCATCACCCCAGACCCATAGGTAAAGGGTTTCTTAAATATGATTCCCAAAATCCCCTCCAAATTGAAAATATGATATGTTGATCTTCATTAATATCTTCTACTGTTTGGCAGACACTGGTTTAAGAAAACCTGGAAAAATAAGCCACAGACTGGAAAAATATTTGCAAAGCATATATATGTACAACAAAAAGCTTGTATTTAGGATATATGAATAACTCCCAAAGTGCAATAATAGAAATTCAAACGATCCAATTAAAAACACATAAAGGATTTGAACAGGTACTTAGCAAGAATACACGTAGAACACAAGTAATCACATGAAAAGATGCTGAACCTCATTTGCATTTTCAGAAGAAGGAATTAAAATCGCTGTGGGTACCGGGATATTCCCACAGTGGCCACAATGACAGATTCATTACAAATGTCGAGCACCTGAACTCCTGGGCTGAGGGCAGCAAAGGGAATGGCACAAGTATGCCGAACACATCTTCCTGTTTTCCTGAAAGCAAAACTGATGCCTGCCACATGAGGCGATGCTTCACTTTCAGGAGCACCCCCCAGAGAAACAAAAGGAACGTTCACAACAGCTTTACATGGAATAAGTAAAAACTGGAAACACGGCAGTGTTCACCAATGGGTAAACACGTTATATGGATACAATGAAACACCACTTAGCAATGAAAATGATGACCAACTAATATCCCAACAAAACATATGGATCTCTCTCTTTTCTTTTTTTAAACAATCTATTATGTATACAGTGTTCTATCTCCATGTACCCCTGCAGGTCAGAAGAGGGCACCAGATTTTATTACAGATGGTTGTGAGCTACCATGTGGTTGCTGGGAATTGAACTCAGGACCCCTGGACGAGCAGCCAGAGCTCTTAATCTCTGAGCCCAACAAATGGATCTCTTAATAAGACTTTCATACTCATGGTATATGAAAGAACCCAGTTGGAGGAGGAAAATGGGGGGTGTGTGATAAATAAGACTTCATGTATATAAGTTTCTAGAAAGTAATTAATGTAAGGAACAGATAAATCAGCAGTTGCTGTACACCAAGGAGAGAGTAAAAGATTACAAAGAAGATATAGGAGGAATTTTTACAGGGTTTCTTTGTGTAGATCTGGCTGTTCTGGAACTTGCTCTGTAGATCAGGCTGTCCTCAAACTCATAGAGATCTACCTGCCTCTGCCTCCTGTGTGCTGGAATTAAAGGCATGCACCACCACTGCCCTGCTAATATAGAGGGAATTTTTTTTTTTTTTTTTTTTTTTTTTTTGTTTTTCAAGACATGGTTTCTCTGTGTAGCTTTGCGCCTTTCCTGGAACTCACTTGGTAGCTCAGGCTGGCCTCGAACTCACAGAGATCCACCTGCCTCTGCCTCCCGATTGCTGGGATCAAAGGCGTGCGCCACCACCGCCCGGCTAGAGGGAAATTTTAAGATGATAGATACGTTCATCATCTTGATTTGGTAGTGGTTTCACAATGGGTACTCATGTAAAAACTTACACAATTATATACTTTAAATATGTAAATGAAGCTACATATATGCTGTGCATATGTGTGTATCTGTTATTGACTGATGATCCACATGATTTTTTTTTTCTGAGCTAAAGAATCACTCTGTGAGCCAGGCGGTGGTGGTACACACCTTTAATCCCAGCATTCCAGAGACAGAGGCAGGCAGATCTCTGTGAGTTTGAGGCCAGTCTGGTCTACAAAGTGAGTGAGTTCCAAGACAGCCAGGGCTGTTACACAGAGAAACACTGTCTCGGGAAAAAAAAAAAAAAGAATAACTCTGTGGCTCAGGATGGATGACTCCCCGTTTAAAATCACCCTGCCTCAGCCTCCCAAGTGCTAGGATTATAGGTATGTGTCACCATGCTTGGCTAAATACTTCTTTTGTTGTTGCTTTTCTGTTGTTGAAAATCTTGGGGATCAGGAACAGAGGGATTAGAATTCTATTTTGGCTTTCCCCCTACTTCAATTTCCTTGTCTAGAAAATAGGGATAATAATAATAGTACTTACCTATAGTAGATGGAATGCTTCACCTCTCCCCCTCATATATGTCCATATGCCAATTTCTTAGTATGCATGAAGCCTGGTAAACACACATGTGCATGTACACACACACACACACACACACACACACACACACACTTCTTCGAAGATGTGATTAAGGATTTTTATATAAGAATATCATTCTGGATTATTCTTGTGAAACTTAAATCCACTTATAAGTGTCCTAGTAAATGACAATCAATTCAAGCTCTGAGACTTCAAGAGAACCTTGTTAGAGACTTAGGAACTTCATTTCAGGAGATACAGATTCAAATAGTCTTGCATGAGTGTTCCAAACGAGATAGGAAAACCAGGAGCATGAATGAGTCAGAAGTGCTGATTTAGTGCAAGGCAGAAAGCAGTTGTAAGAAGTTTCTATTGAAGATGAGGAAGAGCAGGAGCTGTGTGAAGGCACTATGCGACTATTAGCAATAAGAAGGAAATATAAACACACACCTAGTAACTCTCCAGCAAAGCCTGATGGTGTCTGGATAGACACCTTAAGTCTCAGGAGCAATATGCTCATCAGATGACTATCGCTAAAAAGTGACCATGAACCAAAAGTCATTTCCCCAGACAGTAGGCTCAGTAAGGTCGGTGAGGTTAGCTCAAGTCCTGTTTCCTGAAAGGTGTTTTTATTTCTATTTTTAAAACCTCGTTTGATTTTTACTTTATTGTGATTTTTCCATTTATTTTCACATATGAGAAAATACAGAGAGATTTGTAACAAACAGGTGGGTATCCCAGACGAAGAAGAAAATCTTTGTTGGCAGACTATATTCACTGAATGCTGAGAGAATATATTTCTGTTGTTTTATGCACCAAACGTGGCAAATTTGATCTGGAATTAATTCTCAACTTCAAACAGCACTGACGTGTTGCTAAGAGTATTATTTAAATTGTTAAGTTTCTCTGCGAATTAAGTGATGTTAAGCCACAGGAAAGCCACACATAGTAGTAAGCACTAGATAAACACTATGTGAATTTTGAAGAAAAAAAAAGATTTCCGATGCCAATGCAGCTGGTTCTTGACGTTTTTGCTTTTCTAGATTGCGACTGGCGGACTGGAAACCATAATGTGGGAGTCTCTTGCAAATTTATGAAATTAAACCATGATGACTGGCAAAAAGAACGGAGTGTTTGTCTAGGAGGTTCTGCGGAGCCTCGAAGTTCTAGGAAAGGAACTCTGTAACTCTCGACGCATTTTGCTTTTTGCTTCTCTATTAGTTGTTTCTATAAATCTCTTATTCTCCAACGCAACTTCGAAGGGAATGCAGGAGGCAGGGCGCTCTCAGGAGAAAAACACTTTCGATGTCTATTTGAGCCTAGAAGCCGTCCAAGAGCTGGTGCCAAAGCTTCGTCTTCAGAAAACTACGACTCCCAGAAGCCTTTGGGTCGCAGGATTGGAAGAAGCCTCAGAAAAGGGGTGGAGTCCAGGGGAGAAGTCGTTGGCCGATTCCATTGTCCTGAGTGGAGGGACCACCTGGGCGGATGTGGACGGATCGGCGTTCTGATTGGTTGTAACTAGAAAGGGCGTCCGCCGTGGGATTGGTACGGTCCTCGGGGGCGGAGACCCAGCGGCGGCCGCTCGAATTTCCCGGGTTGGGCGCGCGGGGACTGCCGGGAAGCTCTCGGGACGGTTACCCACCGGGCCAGCAGTGGTCCGGAGTGGGGTTTCGACATGCAGAGCACTGACCTGGGCAACAAGGAGAGCGGCAAGATATGGCACCGCAAGCCGTCGCCGGCCACTCACGACGGGTGAGGCCGCGGGGCTGCGGAGACCGGCGAGGGGGCGGGTCTGCGGGAGGCTGAGAGGGGTAACGTGGTGGTGGGGTGCCGGCCCCGGGAGTCCTGCCTCTGGCCATGCGCTGCATTCCCTGGGTTGGGACCTCAGGAGGAGCAAGTAGCTCCGGAAGTCGTCGGCTGCAGATGCGTCCCAGGTTCTGGTCCCGGGTCCCAGGGAGCGGGAGGCAGGAGGAAGGCTCTACGATTTATGCAAAAGAATTTGCAGTTCTGCTGAGTGCCAGAACTCCGCCTGCTTTGATTTGTTAATGACTGTTCCATCTGGGAAAAGACTCCATCCAGGAGGTGGAGAGAGCAAAGACAGCAATTGCATATCCACCTCTCCAAAAGCCGCAGCTCGCCATCCTTAAGTCATTGCACACATCTGTAATGTTGAGAACTAAGTTCTGCAGTTTGCACCGAGGAGTGTATATCGCTGGGGCTGTCAACGATGCGGGGCCTTCTAACGCTTCTTTCCATTCTGTTGAGTTGGCCGGGTTTGAGACCCGGCCTCCTGTGTGACGTCAGCGGCCGGTAGTACATTTGTTTTGGTTCACATGGTGCATGTCTAAGTGATCTTGGTGTTTCTGATTCCCTGGGCTTGCACGTACTTCATCACTTTGGGTACATGTCTCGAGGTTGGTTACTCTAAAGACTTTTCTGTTTATCTTTTAGTTGCTTCCCCAGAAATCAAAATAAGTGTCTTTGTAGGCTGAAAACACAATTAAAAGTGTTGGGCCAGCCACTTACTTAACCAGCCAGCCACTTTGGTTTCTGGTGGCTGGCCACCCTTTATCAATGCTGTTGACCCACCAACCTGTTGAATAAAAACGTTTGTCAATAGTGGAGATTCTAAAGTTTTCATTTCCAAATATGGAGTTTGTGTAAGTAGCACTCTCTACCTCTGGCTTCTCTAAAAGGTCTGAGAATTATAGCTAACCTACTATTTCCTGCCGTTACAGAGTATCTAGATAAGATATGTAAGATAAAAAAAAAGAACAAGTTCTTTATTATGTGCTTCCACAAAAACAAAGCTTTCTTTTTTGTTCATTTAAACCAGTGGTTCTCAACCTGTGGGCAAACGACCCTTTCACAAGAGTCACCTAAGACCATTGGAAAATACAGCAGATATTTACGTTACGATTCATAACAGTAGCAAATTTACAGTTGTGAAGTAGCAATGAAAATAGTTTTATGGTTGGGGGTCACCACAACCTGAGGAACTGTGTTAAAAGGTTGCAACATTAGGAAGGCTGAGAACCACTGATTTAAACCCATGCTATGCAGGGAGATGGTTAGGTAGATAAAGATGTATTCCAGTTTCCTGTCTGTTGCTGTGATAAAACACTCTGACCAAAAGCAACTAAATTAGGACAGGAAAGGATTTATTCGGCTTACATTTCCAGGTCACAGTCCATTATTGAATGAAGTCCGGGCGGGAACTTGAAAAAGAAACTTCGAAGGAACACTGCTTGCTGGCTGGCTGGCTGGGTCATGCTCAGCTAGTTTGTAAAACATGCAGCTGAGGACTACCTGCCCAGGGAATGGTGCCACCCAATCAAGTCAATCCCCTGCAGTCATGCCACAGGCCAGTCTAATCTAAACCCTTCCTCAGCTGAGGCTTTGTTCTCAGATGACCCTAGGCTTGTGTCACATTGACAATTAAAACTAACTGGGGTACCCATACTCCACAAAGTTGTCCTCATCCTCCACATGTGCTGTATGGCATACACATACACTACACACCAATAATTACCTTTTGGGGAGGAGGGTTCAAGACAGGGTTTCTCTATGTAGCCTTTGCTGTCCTGGAACTCGCTCTGTAGGCCAGCCTGGTTTTGAATTCATAGAGATCTGCTTGCCTCTGCCTCCTGAGTGCTGGGATTAAAGGTGTGCTCCAAAACCACCTGGCAATAATTACATTTTTTAAATTAAAAAAAAATATTACTGTGGGTTGAGAGAGACAAAGATGAGCCAGAAGATTTGTTGAAGTAAGTGCAAGTTTACCAGGTGGATCCTTGGAGCAGATAATCAGTCAGTAAGCAGGGATAGTCACACTTAGCAACACAGTTTGTTAACCTGAATACTGCCCTTGGTGACCTGGCCAAATTCTACTCTGTCATAATCTTATTTTTGTTGTTTGATTGGTTTTGTTTGTTTTATCACATTTTTTTGATTGGTTGACTGATTGGTTGATTAATTGTATGTGCATGCCGCAGTATACACGTGGAAGTCAGAAGACAACCTTGGGGAGGTTCTCGCCTCCCACCATGAATGAGGGTCCTGGAGATTGAACTTGGGTCCTTAGACTTGGCCGCAAGTACCTTTACTGGCTGAGCCATCACGACAGCCTGGCTTTGGTGTTTTGAAACAAGGTCTCATTTTTCTATCCCAGCCTGAGTAGGAACTTGTGATTCTTCTGGCTTGGGCCTCCAAAGTGCTAAGATTAAAGGTCCTTACCACCATGCCTGGCTATTTTTAATATTGTGAACAATCATCGTTTGATTTTTGTCATCAAATTGTAATGTTACAGAAAAAAAAAGGCTGAGAGGGAGAAGTTATTTGTTGGGTCTGAGTTTATTTGTGTCTGTGTTCGTGTATGTGTGTGCAGGTGTGCCTGTGAAGGCCAGAGATCAGCATCAGGTGTCCTTAATTGCTCCCCACCTTAGATTTTGAGTCATAGCCTCTCACTGAACTTGGTGCTCATCGCTTTAGCTAGACTGGCTGGCCAGTGAACTCAGGGGAGCTGTCTGTCCCCAGTTCCCCATCGCTGGGTGATGGATGTGAGCCGCCAAGCAGGCTTTTCCGTGAGTGCTGAGGATCCAAACTCAGGTCCCCATGCCTCTGCAGGGGCACTTTACTGACTGAACCATCAGCCCCAAAGATATGCTGATGTTGTTTCAGGATAATTTTTGTTTTATTATGTCCTTATTTGTTTTGGCACAGGGTCTGCTGTAGCTCTTTTGGCCTCAAACTCACCATTTTAGCTGACAATGACCTCGATCTTGTGATCTTTTGCCTCCACATCCCAAGTGCTGGGATTGCAGATATTCAAATGTATGTGTATCACCATGATTGGATTAATTCTTTGTTATTCTTGTTTTGGTTTTTTGTTTGTTTGGTTTTTTGAGACAGGGCTTCTCTGTGTAGCCCTGGCTGTCCTGGATCTCGCTCTGTAGACCAGGCTAGCCTCAAACTCAGAGATCTGCCTGCTTCTGCCTCCTGAGTGCTGGGATTAAAGGTGTGTCCCACCACCGCTAATTTTTGTATGTTTAACACCATCGAACTACATAAAAATGAGGGTTTTTTTTTTGTCCCTAATCAATCTAAAAAGCTGTATATTTAGATAAACATGAGGAAAAATAATTTTTTTTCACTGCTGAGTATTCAACCTAGGGCCTTGTACATATTAGGCAAGTGCTGTACCAATGAGCTACATACATCTTCAGTCCTTGGAGAAAATGTTTAATCCACATATCAATTTAGCACACTTCCGTAAAGTTTTTTTAAAATGAGATCTTAATTGGAATATTAAATATTGGAATATTAAAACTCTTATACAAGGGGTTGGAGGGATGGCTCAGGGCTTAAGTGCGTCGGCTGCTCTTGCAGAGGATCCAGGTTTAATTCCCAGCACCCACTTGGTACCTCACAACCATCCGTAACTGCAGTCCCAGGGGAATCTAGCACCCTCTCCTGGCATCTGCAGGCAGCAGGCGTGGGCAGGGTGCACAGACATACATTCAGCCAAAAGACCCATACGCAGAAAACAAATAATTTTTAAATGATTCGTACTCAAAAGATAAAATTTCCACTATTAAATACTGTTGTTGAAATAAAGAAGGGGTGCTGGCCGGAAGACTCAGAAGGTAAGGGAGGCTGCTGCCAAGCTGGGCCTCTCGAGCTTAATCCCGGGGGCCCATGTGGTAGGAGAGCACCGATTCCTGTAAGTTGTCCCGTGACCTCCACATCTGAGGCATGTACACACTCGCGCACGCGCGCGCACACACACACACACACACACAATTTTAAACAGAATGGGATTGTACCGTTCTTGAAGACCAGAATGATTATGCATGCTCTCTTCTTTTTTCCGTTTGTTCTTGAGATCTGATCTCACTGTGTGACCCAAGTCAGGTTCACGTCCTCCTGCTCCTGCCTCCTGAGTCCTGGGATTATAGGCGTGTATCAGTCTGCAATTCTCTATATTGAAGAGTCATTTTGGGCTGCAAGCTTTTTTCTGATAGTGTGTGTGTGTGTGTGTGTGTGTTGGCATATATGTGGAGGTCGGAGGACAACTGTGGATGTCACTTCTCTCCTTTCATCATGTGGACCTAGGGGATCAAACTCAGGTCACCAGGCTTGGTGGTGGCAAGCATCTCTGCCTGCTGAGCCATCCCACTGCACTGGCCTAGTGCTATAAGTTTTATAAACAGTTTCTCAGCAGATATATGGCACAAGAGTCCTCAAAAAATAGTAAATTTAAACAAATACTGCTGTACATTCCTTACAAAGTTTGCCCATGAAAGAAGTATATGATTATTAACAAGTACGTATCAAATGTAGAAAAGTAGAGTGGGAGAAAGTCACCCATGTTCCTGTTCTCTGCACACAGCTAGCAGTATTTATACGTGTTTATACTTTTTCCCATGTGTACACCTTTCCTTTCGCATTTTTATTTTAATTGCGTGCTTGTGTTTGTATTTATGTATGAGTGCTTTAAAGACTAAGGTTAAGATGCTTGAACTTTCATGTAGCTTTATTCATGCTGCATGTTTCTATAGGGTAATATTGAAGAATAAACTCCATTTCTTACCGTTTGAGAAGTGTGATTCATGGGGGTTTGAAAGAGCAACTTAAAGCACTCCACAGATGTGATGAGAGTGTGTTGTGTGTCATAGGTCAGGTGCAGGAATGCAGTGATGAGCAAGTAGTCCTCACAGCACATCCCTGCTGGGGTACTGTGCAGGTCTGTTAGAGGAGGAGATACATTTAACTCATCTGGGAGCATTCTATATTACGGAAACGGACTCTTATACCCTGTTGCCTGTTCGTCATAGCATGTGCTGCTCCCGGGTATCTGTAAGTGACAGCAGGGTAGGAATCTTGTCTATCAGTTTGTCCTAGTGTCTGGCTTCCTCAGTTCTGACAAGTAAGCTGTAGAATAATTAATGAATAAATGAATGCTAGCTTCTCTCATAATGAATGGCTTTCCGAACTATTTAGGAGTTTTTATAAGATGGCGTCTAGGGAAGAGAAGGAAGAGCACCAGGAAGAGTAAGCAGGCAGAACACTGTCAGTAAAACCCAATGTGTAAAAGCTGGTATGTGACATAGAATGTAACATTTAGATTGTTGTGTCTTGGCAGAATTATAGTGAACATTGTTCACAGCACTTCCGAATACCATCCGAAAGCTTTGCGGTTTTTGAATGTGGCTTTTGATGGCTCAGGCGACTCCTTTATTGCTGGGGACCACCAGGGAAACATCTATACTTTTGACTTGCATGGAAACAGGTAAGCAGATGCTTTGGGTATGGCCCTTACCATTCAGGAAGTTACTGACTGTTGACTAGTCCGTTACCTCCTGCTGATTTACAAAGTGCTGCTGAGTTCTCGGAAAGCTGCTTTCAGTGCTGATGAAGAAGGGAGGGAAGAAAGGATAAAGGACTGGTTTACAGGGTCTCTTTATAGCCTGGGTTGGCCTCCTCATTGCTGGTAGCCACCATCCTGACTGCTTGTTTTTTTTTCCCCTTTCATTAAAAAGAAATTACATTGCGTTTTCTTTATCGTATGTGTGTCTGTATGTGTATGCATGCACATCATGTCACAGCTTGCATGTACAGGTCAAAGGATCACATTCACAAGTTGATTCGCACCTTCCACCGTGTGGGTCCCAGGGACTGAAATTGGGTCGATAGGCTTTACGGCAAGCACCTTTACCCACTGAGGTATCTTGCCCGCTCTGCTTGCTTTTTCTTTTACTTAAATTTTCCATGACTGCAAATGTATTGTTAAGTTCTGGTACTTCATTAGGCAGTTTAGAAACTTGATTTCCAAGAACCACAAAGGATTATCACCATCCTCCTTCCTCTTCCGTTTAGTTCAGAAGCAGTTAGGTAGGCTTGATCTCTGAGTCTCCATGCCACGAGGCAAGGTGGGAAGGTGGGAGGATGTCTGCACAGGGCAAGTGTCAGTGATGCGGAGTTAGCTCAGACAGTCTTGATAAATAAGACAACACTGGGAAGATAAGAACCTGGCTTCCTACCGGAAGAGGGCTCAATGGAAAGAAAAGAAGAAAGTAAAATGAACCCTTTGGCTTTAGATTAGAGTCGGATTTGTCACATGACTCTGGGTTTGAATATCTGAGCAGAGATAGAAATAAACACAGACGTCTGTGGGAGTGTGAGCACAGTACACATGTATATCTTCCCCAGGGTTGTCCTCTCGGGGCCAGAACATGTCAGGAGCACTGAATGTACCTCATGGCCAGTTCTTAGATTCCAAGAGCTATCCCTTAATAAAAGAAACCAGAGATCCTTGCAGAAATGGCCAGTTTCAGAATAGCGATGGGTGTAGTAGAGGATGAGCCTGTTAATATTTCATAGATAGAAAAATTATCCAGACAGCAGTAAGGATATGCCAGGACACAGAAACCAGCTGAAGGAGTGCCCATGTGGAGATGATTCGAGCATTAAAGTAAATAGTGAAAGTAATGTGTCATACCCTCTGATGTCAATCAAAATCCACATATTCCTGCTGCAAGCAGCTGTTTACTTCGGACTGGAATATGGCACAGTCGAAAATCTTTCTCCCCACCAAATTCTTTTTTTTATTATTTATTTTATCTTCCGGTACTGGGGTGTGACCTTGGGGCTTTATACAGGTAAGCACTCTGCCACTAGATATCCCCAGCCTCACCACAAAATTGTTAATAATAGGAGAAACAGAATAATGGTTAAAATGAAAAGACCTGGCACATACTTTATAAATCAAATGATTAAAGTTAATAGGACCAGTAAAAATCTGTGTGACTAGATAGAGTAAATGCACAGTTCTGTGTGGTTCCTGCCAAAGACAGAACCTGGATGCAGCCAGTGGGGTGTTTACTAACAAAACTGGCCTTTAGCTGTTGAGAAGCCACAGTCTCGAAGGTTGGGAAAGGCAGTAGAGCTTGCAGATGGAGAGAGAGGGAAGAGCATGGCGGAGGTGTGAGTCTGCACCCATCCCTCTGTCAAGCGTGCTGTGAGTCAGCTGGCAGGATGTGGATGGACTTTGAAGACTGGGTGCTGGACATGTAGGAAACATGGTCTTGGTGACTTACTCAATGATCGTTCAGGAGAAGCCACAGGTTTATCTGCAGTCGGTTAGAAATCTGCTAACCATCATTTCTGCTCTTTACTAAAAATAGCAGTGAACCCAGCGGTCCCATCCAGTCTTCCTCACCCACCTCGGCCTGTGTAGTATTTGTGTAGTGTTTTTTTGGACAGCATGGCTCTAAATCTTGTACAGGAGCCTTGAACTCAACATCTTTAGGATAAGATTTAAGATTCCCTATCCTCAAGCTCCTACCCTTTTTTCCTAAGCTCGGAAGCTTAATGTTTTGTAAATGAAGTTCTAATTATGTGCCAAGCTCTCTCTTAAGAACTCACAGTGTATTATTTCACTTAGTCACATCAGACACTTAGGATTCCTGTTCTTGTCTTCCTGTTACACTTGCAAACCCCGGGTCCTTCTCTTCCCCCATGTGTAACGCATGCCAGGTCTCTCTTGGCTTGGCATGGTCTCTCCCATGTGTCCTTTCCACTGTGTGCTGGTGTCTCTGGCTGATGTTTTCTCTGGGAGCTTACAGACAATCACCTTTCTCCTCAGCCCCTGTCTGTTAATTGCCATTGCTTCCACAAACATCTAACCAAAAGACAGTTGTAATTCCACTGTGCTCAATTAACAGAAACGTAGCAATGCCTCCTGTCTGCAAAAGTAGAACCCAGTCTCCTTAGTACAGTCCCTGAGAGGTAGCTAACCGTGGCATTTACACATGATAGGAATGCCTTCATTATTCACAGTGCGTCTCTTAGACCTTCCTGTCTATTTTTGGCCCACCATCTTCTAGGTCTCATTTTTCTCCTCTCAGGACTCCACCATTGTAAAGTTTGTGATCACTGGTAGAATTTCTGATACTAATGCAGCTATTTATTTCTTAATAGGTTTACTCTTGTTCAGCGAACAGCACAAGCTTGCACAGCCCTGGCCTTTAATCTTCGTAGGAAGTCAGAGTTCCTTGTGGCATTAGCTGACTATTCCATTAAATGTTTTGATACAGGTAAGAAGTCCTGTCCTTTGAAGTGGAGTGAAATATAGACTAGCACACTGAGAGGCCCTTACCGTCTGGGTAGTCTCAGGAGCAGTCCGTTTAAGACTGCTCTCGCTTCAGGTTGCCACGAGCCTGGGGTCCAAGGACCATTCCTGCTTCAGGTTAGCTGCTTCCAGAGTCGGTGTTCCTAACCACCTTCAGTTTCAATAACCTTCTAGAAAACTCAGCAGAACTTAAGAAAACATTGTCTTAGTATAGGCTACACATTAGAGCCAGCCAGTGGGAGAGATGCATAGGATAGGATCTGGGAGGCTTCTAAAGAACACTTCCATTGTCTGCTGTGATGAGCTCCCTCTCAGCATCTACATGACCTGACTTTGGTGTCAAGAGTATTAACTGAGGCTCCATCACACAGACATAATTAATTGAATTGTTGCCTATGTGTAGATGTGAGGGCAATCTGACGGTAACATCTCTCACCCCATTATCACCAGGCCTGTGTGGATGAATCCCGTTTCCAATCCTCCTGCCTTCCTGATACTCAGTCTGTTAATGTTGCTGGTCTTTCTGGTAAGACCGGCCCCAACTCTGAGTCCTTAACAGAAGCCATTTATCTGTAGCTAAGAGGCGACTGAATATTATAATAAAGATATTCCTATCATGTGGGAAACTCCAGAAGTTCCAAGATTACTTCCCGTGAGTTTGGACAAAAACAAGACCTGTCTTTCGAGGCCAAATTCCTTACTATACAGTTATCCCCCACAAAAATTACAAACAAACAAAATCCCATATATTTCATATCACATTAATTATGTTTTTTAAGTTGGCATTCTGGAGTATTATAGATTAAACCCCTTATTCTTCAAACCAGTCAGAAGTGAAAAGAAAAAATTTTAATTGTATTTTTTGTTACTAAATAATTGATGGTATATAATATTTAAAAAGATATAAATATCATTAGTCTTAATAATAGTGACAATGAAGTCTTCTCTAAGGACTATGTTCTGAATTTATATGTTCTGATTTATTTTCATCCTAATAACTAACTGAGATGGATATTGTTGTCATTTTGCAGACTGGGAAACTGAGACAGCGAGATAACTTACCGTCCTAGGTTAATATAAAGCAAAGCAACCAGAATTCAAGCTTGGAATGTCTATGCTGTACTCCACATGCAAATAAGCAGAAATAACTGTCTTTTTTAGTAGTGTCTAGAAATCCAGTCAGCAATGCTAGGACAAAAATTCTTTTTTTGGTTTTTCGAGACAGAGTTTCTCTGTGTAGCTTTGCGTCTTTCCTGGAACTCGCTTTGGAGACCAGGCTGGTCTCGAACTCACAGAGATCCACCTGCCTCTGCCTCCCAAGTGCTGGGATCAAAGGCGTGCGCCACCACCGCCCGGCTTGACAAAAATTCATTAAGAAATTAAATCTTTGTGCTACAGTTAGCTTCTTTGCAAGGCACCATTTTCTTCTGTCTTAACTCCATCTTTTTATAGCCTAGTCTCTCTCATTAAACCCCACACCCCAGTATGTTCCTTAGATGCTATCTCCAGTTCCCAGCTTCCTAGTCACCTTTTTCTGTCTGTCTGTGGCAAATCCTGCTTCCTCACAGCATCCATTAATAAATGATGACTCCTGTGCCTCCTATCCCACGATAACAAGACCCGAGTCGCCAAGGTCATAAAGCCCCCTGATTGTTTTGGTCTTCAACCTGCTGTCCAGCTTCTCAGTAGCACTTAAAATTTGGGATTGAGCCGGGCAGCGGTGGTGCACGCCTTGAATCCCAGTACTTGGGAGGCAGAGCCAGGAGGATCTCTGTGAGTTCGAGGCCAGCCTGGTCTACAGAGCAAGATCCAGGACAGGCACCAAAACAACACAGAGAAAACCCTGCCTCGAAAACCAAACCAAAACAAAACAAAACAAAAACCCCAAAACTTGGGCTTGAAGCTGGAAAGAGAGCTCACGTAGTATAGTGCCTGTTTTGTAAGTATGAGGACCTGAGTTCAAGTCCCATAATCCATATTTTAAAAAATCCCAGCACTCGGGAGGCAGAGGCAGACAGATCTGTTCAAGGCCAGCCTGGTCTACAAAGTGAGTTCCAGCGCAGCCAGGGTTGTTGCACAGAGAAACCTTGTCTCTAAAAACCAACCAGTCAAACAAACCAACCTTGGGATTGACCAGGAAGTCAGATAGGAGACCAAGTCTCCTAGAAATGCCGGGGAAGCTGCTGCACCCATGATACCTCACCATGGCTGCCTAAAGAAGCCTGAGCAGGGACACACTAGCCATGGTAGCCTGAAAGGGACAGATCTCACAGGCTCCACCTCTAGACCAAGAACTACAGCTTCGTTGGCCAGCTTTGAATTTTCTACTCAATAGCAGAAAGAAAGTTGCACTTCATAAAAAAGGGGAAATTTTTCCAGCCTAGGCTGAGAGGGACAGTACTGAATTGAAAAGTGGTGGTTTAAATGTAGCTTATGAAAAGCTCACAGTGTTTCCCCCCTTTTCACATTTCACTGCAGAACAAGAGGAAGGAACGAGAGCAGTCACGGGCATTAGGCTGGTGTTGGGAAACTGCTGTTTCCCCAAGGAACTCGTTGCTCTGTCTTCAGTTCTGACCTACTTTGTATCTTAGTGTTTTCAAGATTTCTATCTTGCTCTCTTTCTCTCCTCACTTCCACTCTTTCTGGGAGGAAGAATCTGGATCACAAAAGTGATACAATATTGACAATTTAGAAACATTCACACAAGTGTGAGGATAAAATAAAACTCAGATTTAGTTCCTCAGTGGCAATGCTATTTGCTTTACCAAACTGTTTTCTCTGCACACACAGACAGACACACAGACACACGACTACCTCAAAGTCAAACCTTTTAGTAGTATTTATTTATGTATTGAAACAGTTCTGCTGTGTAGTCCCAGCTGATGTGGAATTCGCTGTGGAGCCCAGGCTTCAGACTCAGCTCCTCCACTTTAGACTGCTATGTGCTGAGCCAGCACGCCTGGCCCAAATTCATTTCAGTTTTGATTATCTGTGTGGCTTGATTTCTTTCTTCTGAAATAGGATCTCTCTGTGTTGTCAGAAATGGCCTCATATTCACTATGCTGTCCAAGCTGACTTGAAACTTACAGTCAACCCCTGCCTCAACCTCCCAAGTGTGTGTTACTATGCTTGGCACACTTAGTTATTTAAATCAAATTTGCCCTTTCCTCACCGTGCTAACTCTGTTCTTCTTTGTGCACTATCACATGATGTCACAGCATCAGCAGCTGCTGATAGCTGAGCTGGAACCACTGGAGCCCATAGCTCAGTGCGTCGGTGGTATCTCTCTAGCATGATAGCTTTTGAATGTGCTCCTTTTTTCCTTTGCCAATTTCTTAGTGTAAGCTCCCGTTTCTTGTCTGGATTGTTACAGCCCTGTCTAGTCACTTCCCCTCTTCCCGTCTATAGACTATAGCCTCAAACTATTTGTAAAACAGAGACGCAGATATGCCATACTGCAACATCAAGCTGTTGCCATGGGACGGTACCCAAGCTCTAGTCCTCACTGAGACTACTCTTCGCCCTGAGTAGGTCTCCTAGGGAGTATCTGTGATTGTATGTTACTGACATCCCTGTGGTAAACGTTACCCACAGGCTCCCATCGTTGCCAGTGTTAAAGGAGGTGCCTTTGTGTCCCTGTCCATTAGTTGGGTTAGCCCACAAATAGTGTTTATGAATAGCGTTTTGTTTATCAGTGAGTGATACTTTACACGTAACAATCTCACTGTTACCTCAGTCACCAAGGAGCTGGTTAGCTGGATGAGAGGACATGAATCATCAGTGTGTTCGATCTCTGTGCACGCGTCCGGAAGATACGCCATCACTACTTCCTCGGACACAGCTCAGCTCTGGGACTTGGATACTTTCCAGAGGAAAAGAAAGCTGAACATCCGCCAGTCTGTGGGGATACAGAAGGTTAGCAGTGGTGTCCTGTTCTGTGCTTTTCCCGCTGTTTGCTTGGTCTCGGGATTCAGGGGGACGGAGTCGGATGATTCTGTGTGTCTTCAGTAGCTGTGATCTCACAGGAGAGCGCAGGCAGACTAGATAGTCGGGATTAACTCAGAACACCGAAATTCTTCTTTTAAATTATTATAGCCGTGAAACTGCCACTGTGGGAAGTGACAGATTTTAAGATGTTTTAGTTGTGAACCCTTTTCCAATTTTGCTATCAACAACCTTAAACATACAGCAGATTTATAAGAACTTCATATTGAACACGGATACTTGTCATCTAGAGTCCTTCATTAACATGTTACTGTACTGTGCAGTTTGTTACATGTTAGTATATGATTGATCATCTCTCCCTCTGGTCATTGATTGTTATTTTAAAGTAAATTTATTTAAATGCAAACATCATTGTACTTAAGTACTTAAGCCTGCATTTAATCAATCATGGTTGAATTATTTGTTGATAGAATATTTACACATGAAATGCCTACACATCATTTGGTGAGTGTGACAGATGTGTACACTTGTGACCTGTGTGGGATGATCTTTACTGTTGCCTGATAAAATTTTATCATATCCTTTCTTCCTTTCTTTTCTTTTTTTTTTTTCCACAAAGGAGATGTTTTTTTTTTATTGAGGATTCTTTTTTTTTTCCATGTAAAAGTTATTAAAGGTGAGTGTATATTGAGTTGACTCTTCCATGATGGCAGCTCACACAGTGGGAATAACCAAAGCTGTTCAGACAGCATTGTGTTCATTTAATTAATCCAGGTTATTCCCACTAATATTTGGGTTCAGAACTATCACATCTTAACCAAACAATAAGTTTTAGCTGTCTTGTGACTTTTGCTGGTAGCAGTGGCCACTCCTTCTTAAATTTAGAGGAAAAAAAATTTAACATGAGAGTAAAATCCCTGCAGAGTGAAGCCAAATTTTTTAGGAGTAAGCTGACCAAATATAACATATAACATACATCCTCTTAGGTGTCCAGATAAATAAAGCCAAAATAAAGCAAGGCAGTCGGCCAGTCAAGGTCCGTGAAGTCACTGTCTCTAACGTTTAATCACCAGAGTGACTGCCAACCCGTGAACTGAAGGGTGGGCAGAGGAGGGTGGCGTGCTCCAAACAAACCTGGATGCAGTATTGCATGCACACATACTAACTTGAAAGTCCATTTGGGTATAGCCAACAATCCCACGCATTGAATTCTTCTTATTTTATTACGTTCCTCATGTTCGTTTCTCAGTTCATAATTACATAGTATGTGGGAAGCCACTCTGCAGGGGGCACTGGATCTTTCCCGTCACTGCTTATCGTCATAGCCTTTCACGGGTATTTCTGATATTTTTTTACTACGGTTTGGTTTTTCTATTATAAAACTCATATAAATTGAACTATTTGGTAATCATTTCTTTTTTATGTATTTTTGTGTATTTTTAATCACTAGTCCCTTTTAATCACTAATTAGTACTCTATATGTAAATATACTACCTTTTAAAAGAGTCATTTATTTTGCTTTCCATGTTCAGTATTTTTTTCTCTGATTAGCTAAATACTATTTTTAGTAGTATCTGTGTCTCCTGTGAGATTAATTGCGTTATTTAGGCTGTGTTGTAATGTGGTGTTGCCTTTATTCTCTTCGTTATTAACATGAGCAGCCAATAGTGCATGTCAACCAAAAATTGATCACACGGTCTCCATGGAAATCCCAGAGTTCTTTAGCGTGCTTTTAATAATTAAAAAGAAGATGGAAGTTGTAGGCAGCATATTCATTAGGGACATGAACCAAATGTCTTAGTAGGTCTTTTCTTCTTTAATTGCTTTAGCACTTAAATGGAATTTAACTCCCACAGCGGAGAGAGGAGTGGGAGTTGAGCCCTCAGTGGAGATGGCTGTGGAACAGTGACAGGAGCCTTGTGCTCTTAGCATGGATGCCAGTGTGAACACTGGTCACGCAGACGTTTAGTGAAAAACGTCTCCAGATTTTAGTGGTATGAGAATCCAGTTAGAGAGAGAAACAGTGTGTACGTGTGTACCGTGATGCATGCATGTAAATATATCGCAAAATAATGGAACCCCGTAGTCTAGAAGTTACCAGCAAACTGTTTCTTTACAAAAGAGATAGTTGGGCAAACAGAATGGCTGGGCAAGAAGGGCACTTACCACCGGGCTTGACAACCTGGATCGGATCCCTGGGACCCACGGGATGGACAGAGAGAAATGACTCCTGCAAACTGTCCTCTTACCACCCTGTGTGTGCAGTCACATGTGTGCACACACAAAAACACTCATGCACAAAGATAAATATAGTACGAAACCAAGATTATATAGCCCTTTAAAATGAAACTGTTTAAACATGTAAAATAGCCTGCTGTGCAGCCTAGGCCTGTAGTCTAAGCACTCAGGAGGCCCCAGGATTGCCTTAAGTTAAGGCCAACCTGATCTGTGTAGCCAGTTACAGGCCAGCCATTAAAATATAAAAATAAAAAAAAAAGAATAAATAATAAAAATATTCTTCACTCCTGGGCTATGCAAAATTTGGAGATGGCCAAATAGTTTCTGTTCCTGGTGTACAGTGTTGGAAATGGAAGCTAAATGTAACCCAGTCTTCAAAATAAAACTTTAATTCTGATCGAATTTTAACTGACAGGATATTTTTATTCCAGGTTTTGATTTTGTAATTTAAACGGGACCTTTATTTACATTGATGATCCTTTCACTATGATGTTAATCTCATAATGGCACTTTTCATCTAAACAGTGTCCCATTTTGCTTGTCTGTGACACCAGTTTTTTTAAAGATCAGTCGCCTCGGGAGAGGCCTCATAGCCTGCATGGGTCCTCCCGTCCCATCACTGTTTAACTTGTATCCTGTTCTCTGATATTTCTTAAAAGCAGGAACTTAGTCTCAAGGCTTCGGTAGATTCCTGGTAATCTTCTCCACGTGGTATTTTAGCCAGTGTAAGATCAGAATAGTAGCTGTGCCTACCTCAGACTTGACTTCATTGTTTAAGGTGATATATATGCAGTACTTTACACAGTGCTTAGTAAAACTGCTATGTATGTATGTATGTATGTATGTATGTATGTATGTATGTATGTATGTGTTTGGGGCAAGTTAACATAGCCCATGCTGGCCTTGAACTCACTATAGCTAATGATGGCCTTGAACTTGATTTTCCTGCCTCTGCCTCCAGTGTGCTAGGATCACAGGGATGCCACCATGCTCAGTTTATTCGGTGCTAGAGCTTGAACCCAGGGCTTCATGCATGGTAGGCAAGCCCTCCGCCAACTATGCTACACTCTGAGCTTCTCTCTAGATGAATTTGGGGGGGGGGGGGGTTTCGAGACAGTTTCTCTGTGTAGTTTTGGTGCCTGTCTTAGATCTCGCTCTAAAGACCAGGCTGGCCTTGAACTCAAAGAGATCCGCCGGGCTCTGCCTCCCAAGTGCTGGGATTAAAGGTATGCACCACCACCGCCTGGCTCTAGATGTATTCTTTAAATCTAGATAGTAACGTATTTTTCTTTTGAGCTGTAGGTGCACAATTCTTTACTAATAATTTTGAAAATTAGAGGTGTTCAATTCAGTTTATATCAAAAGATGATCTGACCTTAGTTAACTGGCAGCCCGATCTGAACTGAAGTGGCACAGTCCAGAGCATGAATGTATCCGAGGATGCGCTGCCGGCCAGACCACATCCTGTTGTGGCAGGTGTCGTCTTGCAGCACCTTCTTAAGGTGGTAATAACGCTAAGTCTGAAACATCTGTGTTCCTAAGACGTCCAGAAAAGTGACCGTGGACCTTTGAGTCCAGCGTTCTTTGTCGTTCTTGGTGTTGTGGGCTATTTCCTGGGGTGGGGTGGGGTGGCGGTAAACCTAGGACCATGTGTTAGGCCAGTGCCCTCCCTGCTGAGGGAGGAGCTGTGCCTCCAGCCAGCCTCTTGAGGTGCTTTTGAAGGACTGCCACCCCAAACTTCTTTCCACTGCATTTTGTGTGTAGTATAGCAGCAATTAAAAGCCCGCCAGGCACAGTGGTGCACACCCTCATCTCAAATGCTCCAGAGGCTGAAGCAGGATGACTTTTTAAATATAATGCAGTATTTTTAAAATAGATTTTGCATCCATGTATTTATTGCATGTGCACGCACATGCACAAGCTTTCCATGACGTACACGTGGAGGTCAGAGAACAATTTCCAGGAGTCAGTTTTTTCTTCCACCACGTGGGTCCTGGGAATTGAACTCAGGTCACCAGACTTGGTGGCAAGGGCCTTTACCCTCTGGGGAATTTTGAATTCAAAGCCAGCCCAGGCAACTTCGTGAGAACCTCATCTTAAACAAAGAACAGAAACGGGCAGTAAGAGATGCCAGTTGCTGAATGCCTAGCATGCAGCTAACTCCCTTCCCTCCTTCCTTCCTTTCTACGACAGAATCTGGCTGTGCAGCTGAGTGTAGAGCTGAAAGTGGGGTCCAGCTGGCCTCCAGCTCTTGACCTTCTTGCCCTAGGCTCCCGAGTGCTGAGATTATGCAAGCAAGCTCCGCCAGGACCGACTTATTAGCTATTTTTCATCTTAAATAATCCTAAACTGCCGGGCGGTGGTGGCGCACGCCTTTAATCCCAGCACTTGGGAGGCAGAGGCAGGCGGATCTCTGTGAGCTACCAAGTGAGTTCTAGGAAAGGCGCAAAGCTACACAGAGAAACCCTGTCTTGAAAAACAAAAAAACAAAACAAAAAAAGATCCTAAACAGCATGCTGCTCTCCAAAAGGACGAACTGAAATTCAGAGTCATTAAGTAACTCGTCCAGTGTCACATAGCTTATAAAATGGTTGCGCTCTGACTCCAAACCCGACTACCGCAAAGCAGTCCATAGTACTGTACTGTGATTTAATTGGAACCTGTCACAGAAACACATAGTGGGACACGCTTTTAGATTGATTGAAGGTGCCATTATGACATTTACGGCATAGGGAAAGGCCCAAAGTTTCTTTGAGAGTCTGTGTCATCAATGTCAATGAAGGTTCCGCTTAAATTACAGAGGTAAACTAGTTACACCTCTTCAGATTAGTAACTCAGGGTTCTTGTGATGCTGAGTTACATTCAGTTCTTCAGTTAGGAGTTGGGAATATATCCTTGTATCCATGATTACTTTTGTTCAATATATATGGGAAAACCCTTTATGACATCTGTCAGAAAATGGTTCATAACGAAGGTTCTTATATGTCAGTCTCTATACAGTGAACACTCCTTAATAATTTCTGTAAAATATTGCCGGGCAGTGGTGGCGCATGCCTTTAATCCCAGCACTCGGGAGGCAGAGGCAGGCGGATCTCTGTGAGTTAGAGGCCAGCCTGGGCTACCAAGTGAGTTCCAGGAGAGGCGCAAAGCTACACAGAGAAACCCTGTCTCGAAAAACCAAAAAAAAAAAAAAATATTACACCTGGCTTCCATTTTGTTACTATTACTGTCCTGGGTTGTTGTGTTGTTCTGGTTTTGGTTTTGGTTTTGAAATAAGGTCTCACTATTTAGCCTAGGCTGTTCTTAACTGCTATCCTGCCTCAGCCTTGGCATGCTGGGATTACGGCAATGTGCTGCCATCTTTGGCTTCGGGTCTGTCTTTTAGTTTCTCGGTGCTAGGGATCAAACACAGAGTGTTGCACATGGTAGGCAAGACTTCTACCACAGAGAAGGCCAGAATTTCTTAATTTTTGATAAGCCTTCATACACCTCCTCAAACTGACCAGCAAATGCTGGATTGAGTGTGCTTGTCTCCCAAAGATGTGTGCTGGAAATGTGTCCAGATGTGGTCGTGTTGGTGCCCAGCAGAACCTTTAAGATAGTCTACCCTTAGAGTGGTGCATCTCAGCCTGTGGGCCACAACCACTTTGGGAGTTGAATGACCCTTTCACAGGGGTCACATATCAGATACACTGCATACCAGATATTTACATTACGATTCATAACAGTAGCAAAATTATGATTATGAAGTAGCAATGAAAATAATTTTATGGTTGGGGGTCACCACAACATGAGGAACTGTATTAAGGGGTCGCAGCATCAGGAGGTTGAGAACCACCACCTGAGAGGATTCAGTATTCTTAGGAACCCCAAGAGAAAGAAGGGAAGGCAGAAAGGAAGGTGACAGAATTTGAGAGAAAGCCTCTGGCTTCCTACGGGTCTCCACGATTCCTCCGTCTGCAGACACTGCCACTGTGATGCTGTGTGGTGATGCAGCCAGAGACTCACCAGAGCCCAGCAGGAGCAGCAATGCGCTCTCAGCCTCCAGAACTGTGAGCTAACTGCATTGGTTTCCTTACAAATTACCTAGCCAACAGTCTTTTGTCATGGCAACAGAAGATGGCAAACACAGAAGGCTGGAGTTTTCATATTCCACGAGGAAGCAAGTCCAGCCCCTGGAGCTCAGCTGTCCCCTCCTGTGCATTTCCTTAAGTTCTTGAAGTTTTTTTCTAAGCACTTAATGTTGTCAGGAGATGACATTATCTAAATAATAATGACATGTTTCATTAGGAACAATTTTATAATCATTAAAATCTAGCAATTAAAATCACAAATCTGGTAATGAATAATCATGCCGGCAATAATCTTATCACAGCTATTCACCTAAAATAGCAGTTGATGCTCATTAACTTTTAAGCCTTTGCTTCTCCCAGTAGGAATAAACTTTATTACTTTTCTACAAAAAAAAAAAAATGACTGCTAATTAAAATACGAATTTTCTGAAGTCACTTTTTGATACCGGTTTTGAAAGTGTCTTAATGTGTTCATTATGGATTGTAATATATTCATTGCAGATTCTCTAAGACCGTGTTATAAATCTTCTCACATAGTGAGTCTGTATCAGAAGGTCCAGGGATGGCCTGTGGCAGTGTGAGCTGAGCACAAGTGAGGATCTGGCCCTTCCCATCGGGCTCTGTTGGCATCTTATGTACTTTAGTTAGGCTTTTGTGTGTCTTATTGACAATGACCTTGACTGTTACATTTCATAGTGCTTTATTCCATATACATGTATATATGTGTGTATACACACACACATATATGCGTTTTATGCAGATAAATTCAGAGAGTTATATTGAGCTGTCAGTGATCAATTTCAGTGTTTTGCATTTTGTTCTGGGGTGCTAGGGATGGAATCAGGGGCCTCCTTCATGCTAGACAATCACTCTACTGTTGAGCCACAACCACACCCCTAGCCCTAGCAAAACTTTTGTATTCAAAAAGAGACTGGTTAAAGCTTATGTAACAGAACAGTGGGAAATAGATAAAAGATGCCCTTTTCAGCTCTGCTATCAATGGATTCCACCCTCAGTTGTCCATTAAGTAAATTACATCTCTAATAAAATGTGGTTGTAGATAGACTTTCATTTTACTTGTATACATAATATTTACATTTATCTTCACTTTTTCAGTTATTCCCAGAGGACTTACTCTTATAAATTAGTTGGCTGGTCCAGGAGGGATGCTTCTAAGGCTTTTGAGGCGTGTTGCATTATCTTGTCTAGCAGCAGACTGTGACAGAGCCTCCCCTAGGCTTCCACTGACATGTAGTGTTCTTTAGCATGGTTAATGTTTTTAATAGTGTTCATCTGAATATAGGATCATAATCCCTGAACGATGTGGTTGTTTTGAGAGATGCATTGTTGAACAGTATTGTTGTGTGAACATGGGAACATACTTACACAGTCTAGATGGTGCAGGTCGGTCACTCTGTGAGGACTCTTGATGTAGTCATGAAACGTGAGCATGAATGTCTGAAGCTGTCGCCAGTGTGAAACAGCACACTTAAGAAAGTGGGAGGATTATGATCTAAAGTAGTGAGTAAAGGCAGTGTAGATGTGTGAACTGGAAGCATCACTTATTATTATCATGTTAGGTCCTGTACATCCTGCTTCCCACTGAATACATCCAGCACTGCAGGTCTGTTAACCCTGCCATCGTCACACATTTGAGTAGTGAATTGTGCTACAGCTTTACAACATGCTGCTAGGTAACGTAAACTTCATCTTCGGTACATCTGTGGGACAATAGGCAGGCGACTGTATCGTCGTAAATACATGTGTAATTTGTGTATGTATATAAATAGGTTTACTAGCTGTAAAACATTTGATTCAGAGGTATCTAATTTTCATCAGAATTTTTAAATATAAGCTGAAAAAATTTTTAATTGTTATTTAGAATTTTGTGTATTTCATCATTGTCAATGTTTTAGCTGAAAGGGTTTGTCATTTATTTTTGTTAATTATAGCTTATGAATACTGGTATTATGCTATCATATATTAAAATGTATTTTCTCTAGTATAAGTAGAGAGAAAATGACTGTGTATAGTTTTAAATTTAAGAGGACTGTGTGGACCCAAAGTGAAAGGTGTTCTTCTCTGTCTCTAGGTTTTCTTTCTCCCATTCAGTAACACAATCCTCAGCTGTTTTAAAGACAACTCCATCTTTGCCTGGGAGTGTGATACTCTGTTTTGCAAGTACCAATTGCCAGCTCCACCTGAAGGCTCTAGCATCCTATACAAAGTGTTTGCTGTGACCAGGTAATGGACATTTTTAAGAATTTAGCTTCTATTAAAAAATTCTAAATTTTCATTCAGAATCTTGAGGAAAAAAATTCCTCCAGAATTAGATGTGATCTACAGACTTTTTGCTTTACTTTATTATACAAACTTTGGTTTTTCAAGACAGGTTTCTCTGTAGCTCTAGTTGTCCTAGAACTAGCTCTATAGACCACACTGGCTTACCCCTGCCTCTCGAGTACTGGGATTAAATGTGTGCACCACTACTGACTGGCTGCTGTGCATACTTTGAAGTATATATGAAAATTGAGGAATGTATGAACTGCTGAGGACTCACCAGCTGTGATTCTGGTCCTGTTTCTGTCTCTGTCCTTTTCTCTGTTGTATTATTCAGGAGCAAAGCTTACTGTATCATTTCGTTGGCAAATATTTCCATGTGTATTTCTACCTTTGGGGAACATACCATACTATTAGTATCAGATTTTTACAAATTAACAAGCGTTCCTTAAGATTGTCATGTAGGCATTGCTCTGATGTCTGTGCTTTGCCTAATAGCTGGTGCTGATGACAGCTGGGCTCCAATTAGGGGCACAGCAAGCTTTCCACATCTTGTTTGGTTGGTGCAGCTCAAGTTTTTTCCTTGTAGTTTTCTTGTAGAGGGCTGGGTAAATTGCTCAATCAGTAAATATTTGCAAGGACTTGGAGATTTGAATTCAGTCCTTAAAACCCATGGGTTTTTGTTGTTGTTGTTTTTTAAAGCTAGATGTGGTAGCATATTCTTGTAATCACACCACTGGGAAGTTACTGACAAGCAGGTCTGTAGGGTTCACTGGCCAGCCAGCCTAGATGTTGTGGTGAGTTCCAGGCTATGGAGAGCCTGTTTCAGAGAGAGAGTATCTTTCAGCCTCCACATGCACCTATATCTACACACACACACACACACACACACACACACACACACACACACACACACGGTGGGGAGAAGGTGTGAGAGCAATTGTTTCTATAAATCTGATCTTGCTCTGTGTCCATGTGCTGCTCAGTGTGATCTTTGTTGTCTGTGTCCCCGGCACACTGCTTACCCCTGTATTTCCTGAAAACGAGGCCTGACCTAGGTAAAGGGAGGAAGACATGGCGGCGTGTGCGCTTTCATCGGGAGCAGCTTAGGCCACTGTCTCCGGGGACTTGGGTGGAAATTGTAATCACAACTCCCCCAGCGTGGCTGAGGTACTAGAACAGTAATGCTGTGCAATTCTGTTGCCCTTCCTCAGTTTATTAGATGATCTCGCTCTTTCACTCTTGGCTTACTAATAGCTCTAGTTCTGTAACGCCCCCTCACTAACTAGTTCCTTTCCTATTAGTCCTTCTCGTCTGCTTCTGGTGCTGTTCACTTACAAATTAGAAACTGTAAAAGCAAATGTCCTCGTGTTGCTGCCGTTTGTACTTTGACATAGCTTATGGAAAATAGTGGAAGGGCAAATTGGTCCCCACCCCTGTTTTCCTCTGTTGTTTTTTTGTTATTTTGGGTTTTGCTTGTTTGTATTTGTTTTTGAGACAGGATCTTACTTTGTAGCATAGGCATTCCTTAAACTCAATCCTCCTGTCTCAGCCTCCCTAGTGCGTCTCTCTCTCTCTCTTTTTTTTTTTAAAAAAAACAGTTTTCAAAGTAATGCATTAGTTTAGTGGCATCTTCCAAATGGCCATTGAACTCTTTTTTTTCGATCATTAATCTTTTGAAACTCATGGATTTACTGTTATTGGGAAGTTTCAAGCCATGCTAGTTAAGAGTTTTAGTGATGCCCGGTTCTCTCATTTCTGACCAGCGGGACCCTCTTCAAATTTGTTTTAAATCCTTTTGATACTGCCTCCTCAGTCATCTGTGGTACTGCCAGAGCTGCTGGGCTCTCTGGTGTGTCTAAGTGTTCCAGATTGTTCCAAGCCTACACTCAGCTATTTCTCTAAAGAGTGAGTTTAATGTGGTCAGAAATGATGGTTATAAAGAATGACTGGTCATTCTTTATAAACCATCCCAGTGGATGACTAGGAGATAGTTTATCGAATTTCCCCACTTCTTAGGCCTTAGGAAATCTCACCAACTCTACCAAACTGTGTATTGAATTATTCATGGTTTTTGTTCACTGGCATAGAATTCTTACCCTAATCCAAGCCACCCTAGCCTCTTTCAGAGACAGTAATATACCGGTTGGTCTCTGTCTTTATTCCTACTTCCTAAATGTGTCTCTGCCAAACTCCTAGAGTGGAGTTGGCTCACCATTACACTGGGTCCCATCACTTTTCTTATTCATTCCCTTTTGGACTTTCCGCTGCCCTCAGTAAAATCCACCCTCCTGCCTTGTTACCCAGGATGTCACCTGCCACAGGCCTCCCTCTCTTCTTCTCCCTTCCCTCTGCTCTCCTCATACTTGAGTGGTTTCTTACTCTCCTATATAAGAATTGCATTCCTTCCTCTGCACTTTTACTGGCACATGGAGAATTTCTCCAGATCTTCCTGCATTGGTTGATCTCTTCATGTCATTCAGTGAGCAAGTCTTCTTCCCAGCTTCTGTGGCCTCTACTGAAGCTGTACAGAGTTTCCCTCTAGCTGGCGTCAAGTTCATTTCTTTGTTTGCCTTCTTCCTGCAGAGAACACAGGTTCCCAGCACCTACATGGTGATTCACATCCACCCATAACTCCAGTTCCAGGGGAACCAGAGCCCTCTTCTGGCCTCCAAGGGCACCAGGCAGATACGTGGTGCACATATCATGTATGCAGGCAAAACATTCATACAAATGGTTTCTTGAGACACAGTTTCTCTGTGTAGCTTTAAAGGGCTGTCCTGGAACTCACTTTGTAGACCAGGCTGGCCTCGAACTCACAGAGATCTGCTTTCCTCTGCCTCCCAGGTGATGGGTTTAAGGCGTGTGCTATCACCACCTGGCTAACAAATAAATCTTTTAAAAAATGTATTTAAAATGTAAATGTTCCTCAGCCCTTAATAACTCATTCAACAAATCAACAACAAACTAAGCTGATACTTCAAGGCAACAGGTAAAAGTTCTGACTCTTCGGTAAGCCTGAGCCACCCTGTATGGTCCACTGGCCACATGTAGCCTTCTGATCCTCGGTAACATAACCACGTCCCCAGCGTTTGGTAGTTGTGTGTGGCCAGAGGTGCCGGTGGTCAGCATGACGGTAGTTTCCTGACAGGAAACTCTGTGGGGTACTGCTTCCTAAGCAGCTCACTGCCCGTGTCCCCTCACTGTTTCGGTTCTGCTTTTTAAATGTAGAGATGGCCGGATCTTGGCTGCTGGAGGCAAATCCAACCACCTGCATTTGTGGTGCTTGGAGGCCACACAGCTCTTCAGAATCGTCCAGATGCCTACTAAGGTCCGAGCTGTTCGCCATCTGGAATTCCTTCCCGATAGCTTTGATGCTGGTTCCAATCAGGTTAGTAACAGAAATGCCAGCGCCCGCTCTCAGACCCATGTTGGCCCTGTTGTTCAAGCACTTCTCTTTTTTTATAGTCCTTATTCTTTGAAAGGTTCCCCATCTATATATTGTGTGTTAGCCATGTCCACCCACACTACCTCCCTCCACCTCCCCATTCATGCCCCCACCCCAACCGCATCCCAGCTTCATCTCCGTCAGCTCTTACGTAACTTACAGCATGACTGACACGATCCTAAAATGTTAAGTGTTTTTTTTGTGTGTGAAGAATCTAGACTTTAAAAAAGAATTCAAAATCTTGTGTTCTTTATTTAATATTACTGATAAATAATTGTTTAACTTTATTTTAAATTGACAGTCACAGTCATGAATTTCAAAGTTAAATTCATATGTGTTTCATGTAGTTATACACACATGCAATATGTTCACGGGTATCTTATCTGTTTTACTTAAGAGTTCTAAATTGTTGATTCGTTCATATGGTTGGAATTGTAAACCTTACAGGGAAGGATCGGGGGTGTAAGCCCCATCCTGTCTCCTCTTTGTCTAGTTACGCTCTCCTTCCCTGTAACTACTATTGTTATCTAGAACATGTTTTCTCTCTCCACACAGCCGTATACCTTTTTCTGAATTTGGAAATCATTCTATATTAGTACGAAATATCTTTCTTTCATGGCTTCATAATATTTCTTATATTTTCTTTAAACTATCCCTCCGTTGTTGGGCACTTATTCTTAGTCCTTTTCATTAGAAATGATGCCTCACTGGATAACTAAGTTTTTGCAAATGTCATTTTCCATATCCTATTGTAGGATAAAAATCTCAGAGTTGAAGTAGTTTCCAAAGACATCTGTAATTAGGACAGGGTCTTTCCAAGTTGCCGTCAAGACAGCCTGCATCTGCTGCTGCGCATGTGGAGGGCTGTACCCTGCCCGCCAGCCAGTCACAGAGCACGCTTTTCCTGTTGACGCCGTACAGCAACATGACACTGGAGTGTCAAAGAATCGTGTGCGGTTGTAGCTTACAGCCGTTGGCCGTAGCCCACAGGTGTAACGTTTTCAAGTTATATGACTTTAAATGATTTCCCCTGCGAAGACTAGCTTCCCACCTACTCCTCTACCATAATCTAGTATAGAATCCATAATCTCAGTCCGTTCTCCAAATAGCAGTTAGAGCAGCTGAAGACTGGAAGAGAGTGGGGAGCCTTCACCAAGAGCACATGCGCCCCTTTCCTCACTCTGACAGCCAGTGTGGGGGTGAGGGTCAGCAGCTGACCCCTGTGTCTCAGTGGAGGCGGCCTGCCTGGAGAAGCCAAAGCCTTCCATAGTTTCTCAGGGTGTGTTCCATATCCTGTGGCCAGAGTCACACACATCCACATGAGCCATCATTAGTGATTTTAAAATGTGTAACGGCTCACTGGAAGTGGAACTGCCCTCTTAGAAATTATATAAAATGAACACATTACTTTTAAAATGTATTGACATGACATGCGTGTAAGTGTACACACATATGTAGTACACACGTACGTAGTCTCTCTATGTATATGAACTTTTAAGCGTTCGGCTTTCAGGTGTTATAGCCCCATCGTTTCTGTCTGCTCAGGTTCTTGGTGTGCTCAGTCAAGATGGGATCATTCGATTTGTCAACATACAGACTTGTAAACTTCTCTTTGAAATTGGGAGCGTCGAAGAAGGAATTAGCTCATCAGTAATTAGCCCACACGGTCGGTACATAGCATCTATTATGGAAAATGGAAGTCTGAACGTCTATTCAGTTCAGGCTTTAACACAAGAAATAAATAAGGTATGTCATCCAGTAACTGAATCTGCTCCCTGCACTGCAGTATTGTATCACCAAGAGTGAAATGTTCCTTCCGTGCCGTTTTCTAACTTCTCTGGGACACATCTGTTTTTCTGGATATCTTCCCTGGCTCCCGAAGAGTTACATCTCCAGCTCTGATTTCTCACCAGGCTCCTTCTCAGCTTGGTGCTCACCCCATCACTGCCGCCCTTGATCTCTTTTCCAGAAGAGGTCTTTAATCCCGGAGTCTTTGGAGTGCTGTGGCCCTTTCTGTTCTCTTCTAATCCAGTTGCTGCTCCCTCCTAGCACTTCTTAAATTTGAGATATGTCTCTGTCCACCTGTCATCTGTCACCTCTCTTATCTGTCACCTATCAGTTACCTATCATGTATCTATCCATCATCTCTGCTAGGGTCTGTCTAGCATCTTATCTGTCTAAGCATCTTATTATCTGTCTATCATCTGTCCATTATCTTATCGTCTGTCTGTTATTATCTATCTTCTATTGTCTGTTTTTGCTACCTGTTCTCTATCTTGGTCTTTATTAACTAATTCCAAGTTACAGTAATTTAAACAAATTTCCTAAAATCAGTCTTCAGTGGCTCCCCTTCCCATCAATCCATCTTCTTCTACATGACGTTTTTCTAAAATAATGTTTTCATCATCATTTTTTAAAATGATTTAAAAAATTTTTATGTGTGTGTACATTGGTGTTTTGCCTATGCATGTATGTCTGTGTGATGGTGTCCAACACCTGGAGTTACAGACAGTTGTGAGCTGCCATACATGCTGGGAATCGAACCCAGGTCCTCTGGAAGAGCAGCCAGTGCTCTTAACCTCTGAGCCATCCCTCCATCCCTCCTTATCATCTCTTACTACTACTTAGTAGCTCCCGTCCTGTTGCATTCTTTCCACTCATTACCACCCTTGTCCCAGCTAAGGTGGAATAGGGCAAGGCTTGTATTGTTTTAGCTCTCCTCCTACAACCAAAGGATCTTTCAACGTCTGTATAAAATCCTAGGTTTTACACTTTACAGTTTGGGTCTTTTTGTTGTGATTTTACCATTTATACTGGCCCCCAAGAGTAATGCTGAAGCACAGCCTGGGTTTCTTAAGCACAAGAAGGCTGTGTCATAACTTGAGGAATGGTATATCCTAAACTCATTTAGGCACGAATTATAGTGCTATGAGCTTGGAAGTCAATAATGTATTTCAAGTAAGGTATCTTTAGACAGGAACACATACAAAGCAAGGTTATGCTTTACAAGTCAGTTTATGAAATGTGGATGAGGCTCCCTAACTTTTTCCTGGAATCCGTGGTTCTGTTTCTACTAATTCAGTACTTGAGATAATTCTATATAATTATATACTTGAAATGACAGGACTCAGCTAATATATGTGTTCATGTATGTGTGTATTTGTGAGTATGTATTTTCTATCATATGGGATTATAATCTCGTGTTCTTATATATAATCTATATTATATAAAATATTCCATTATAGCTGCCATAGCTCTGTGCTTTTTGTATGTTGGAACATTTAGTATATGTTATTTTTTAAATCACCAGTATATGAAGTGCTCTTGCTGAGTGTCTTTAGTCTTTTCATTTGATTTTCTTCTGCTGACTCAAGGAGGTGGGAGAAGACTGAGCAGAGCTGTTCCGAGTGCGTCACCCTCTTGGGCTGCTGTGTGCCTAGCACCCTGAGAGCGCAGCGAAAGAAAGCCAGCTCCAAGTCCAATCGTCTTTTACATTTAGGGCACCTCGTCTGGTGTCTGTGGCTGTTGTGTGAATGTGTAGCTGCCTTTCCTGTACAAACTTGGACTCACCTGTGCCCCTTCCTTCTGAGTTTTACCTCATTTCCTGTCATTAGAGAATCTCTGATATTGTTCTGATAAAGTCAGTGAATTCTTATGTATTCATTGCAGAGAGGAGCCAAGTAAGTCCAGTCACATCTGCGGCTCTGGCCTGGGGCAGATTGTGCTTGAATCCAAGGATGAGGCCCTAGCAGGGGAAATAATTTCAGAATAGAGGCTTTAATAAAAACTTAGAATGGACTGAAATTAAAGAATGAGCCGCTCAGCAATATTAAAAGATGACCATAATTTGGTCAAACTGTTTTGATCCATCTCAAGATGAAACATTAAATCACAGAAGTGGGCACTGTACCTTGTCTTTAGAACTCAGCCCAGGTGACCTTATTTGCACATTTCCTTTGAATAAGGAAGTTCATTTGATTTCAAAAGGAGTGCCATTTATGAAGAAAATGTCCTAGTGAGTCATTTCAGTTCAAGTAAGTTGATTGTTAGATTTTCCCATTTGATGGCCCCCTAAAGATGAGCTCTTGGGTTCTGTCGCCTGAGTTGCCCTCTTAAGCAGTTGACATGGTAAGGGACCGACAGCCCTTGCTGTGCAGAACACAGTCCTCGACCTCACATGGTTCAGAGGACGCATGCTCCCCCAGGATTGATTTGTACTTGAGCCCCGTGCCCGTTAGGCGCTGTCCTCAGCGTTCTCCAGGACATCTGTCTAGCCCTGCCTTCTCTGTGTCACCGTCATGTGCTGACTTCATCGTGCAAGTGGAAAGTGGTTTGCCATCATACCATTTTGAGGCACCTTTTGGGAATAAATTCTACTTATTGCTGTTATTCATGTATATTTATTTGTTCTGTAAAGGAATTTGACAGACATATGCTGTATACAAAGTAAAGCATGCTATTCAAGTAAAGTTGATGAATCCTATATTAAGAGGCTTACTTTCTAAGAATACTGTGGAAGATAGATATAGGTACATCAGTACATGGAGCCATTTCTCTCCTCTTTTAGCCACCTCCTCCCTTGGTTAAAGTGATTGAAGATTTGCCTAACAATACACCGCGATCCAGTAATCTTAAGACGAAAATAATGTCAGGAAGAGTGGGGCGACCAGCAAGATCTAAAGAGAGCAAAATTCCAACTAGAATCCTCAAGCACGACCTGACGGGTAATTTAGAAAACAAAGAGGTAAGAGTGCATTATAATTAAACTCCAGCTTGCTGTGACCCTGCTGTAGGCTCATCTTGTGATTTCTGGGCTGGCGTGTGGCTGATGCTATTTGAGGTGTGGTAATCTGAATCAAGATATGCTGTAGTAGCCCATCATGGGGCACACACCTATAATCCCAGCATGCATGAGGTAGAGGCAGGATTGTGACTCTGGGATCAACCTGGGTCACATAGTGAGACATTGTCTCCAAACAAAACACAGCAAACCCTGACAGCACAGTTCCGTCCTTGGAATCCACAGAGTAGAGAAAGCCAGCTCTGACAATTATTCTTTGATTTTCATCTGTGTTGTGGAATGCGCATGCACACTCGTACACATACACACACACACACATATACACACATTCACATGTGTACATGCTACCCATAATAAATAAATATTTTAAAAAGATGCTTTAAGTGTAAAACACATGTGGTAAGAAAGTAGGAAAGCCTAGAATATAAACTGTCTTATGAATTGATTTTTTATAAATTGATTTTATATTGATTGTGTTAAAGTGATATTTTGGTTATGTTGGGTTAAATAAATTATATTCTGAAACTGATTTTTCCCTGTTTCTCTTTACCTTTATTAAGGTTGTAAGTCCCGTTTGTGACCCGTGCTGTATTTCTGTTAGACAGCTGCTGTAGAGGGTTACAGGGCAGACAGGAAGCGTGCTTCCCACTGCTCCCGCTGGAGTTTGCCCTTGTGCTCCTCGGAGGCAGCGATAGTAGGGTCGCCTGGAGAGAAAGAGCTCAAGAAGTTTTGTGTTTTAAAATGAAGTTAATGTGTGCATGCATGAGTATGAGTGTGCGTGCGTGTGTGCGTGTGCGTGTGCGTGTGTGTGTGTGTGTGTGTGTGTGTGCGTGTGTGTATGTGCGTGTGTGTGTGTGTGTGCGTGTGTGTGTGTGTGCGTGTGTGCGTGTGTGCGTGTGTGTGTGTGTGTGTGTGTGTGTGTGTGTACTTGTTGAGATCAGAGGACGACTTTCAAGTCAGTTCTCTCCTTCCACTGTGAGTTCCAAGGGTCGAACTCGGGCGCCAAGCTCATGCAGCAAGCACCTTTGCCAAAACACCAGCCATCTCATTGCCCCGTGCTGTTTTCCAAATGGTTTTCCTTCTTTTTTTGTTTCTTTCTGCTTTGAAATAGAAAGAAAATATAAGTATTAATAGAAACGTTTAACTTTATCTTCAGGGAACGTATTTGTTGACAATAAAATACACGTGTGAAGTACACAGTGAATTTTCACAAACCTAATACACCCATGCTGCCAGCACCCACATCAAAGAATGGAATGTTACCACTCCCTTCGAGACACTGCCCTTTGCCTCAGTGATAATGCTCTCTTTGCTGGGAAGAGTAAATATTGGAGATTGAACTCCACATTACACATATGTACTAAGTATGAACTCCGAATTACACATATGTGCTAAGTATGAACTCCACATTACACATATGTGCTAAGTATGAACTCCGCATTATACATATGTACTAAGAATGAACTCCACATTACACATATGTACTAAGTATGAACTCTGCATTACACATATGTACTAAGTATGAACTCCACATTACACATATGTACTAAGTATGAACTCCGCATTACACATATGTACTAAGTATGAACTCCACATTACACATATGTACTAAGTATGAACTCCACATTGCACATATGTACTAAGTATGAACTCCGAATTACACATATGTGCTAAGTATGAACTCTGCATTACACATATGAACTAAGTATGTGCTCTGCCTCACACCTTAACCTCTGATGTACCATAGGTTTGTTTAGTAAATACTATCAGTTTTTCCTAAACTGTTGAAGTAATTCATATTCCTAGCACAGTAAAGAGAGTTCTAGTTATTCCATAGCCTCAGCAACACTTGGTATTTTTCGCATTAACTTTAATAATTTTTTCTATAAGCATTTAAATGATAAAACTTAGGGATAGGAAAGAATGTATAAAACCGATTCCGACTTAGTGACGGTCAGCTCCCATTGTGCTGTGTTGGAGTCTTCGTGCTCGGTGCTGTTAGGAGGGTGACATGGGTGGATTCATAAGCTGTGTTCATGGCTGCACTTGAGGGTAGGAGAGAGGAAGCGTGTGTGGCAGGGTCAGCGACATGAATGTGTCTCACTGTATATTGTGTTCAGTTGTGTCCTGTTGTTGGAGACAGGATCTCCCCTGTAGTCCAGGCTGGCTTCAAACTCCTGATCCTCCAGCCTGTTCTCTGAGTCCTGAGATTGCCAGCATGGGCCACTGTGCCTGTCTTGTGTGCTGTGTTCTAAAGTTTGGAAGTCACTGTGAACTAGATTACCATGTTTTCAGTTGCATGATGGTCACTTATGATACAATCTTTTTATAGAATGAATTTTCTGAAGGAGTAAATAAAAAACGTTTGCAGATCTTATTAAAAGGCTATGGGGAATATCCAACAAAGTACAGGTAAACCTCAAATTCTCTCATTCTAAATCAGTTTCACTCAAAACAAGGTTTTTTTCTTTATTTCAAATCAGATTTTTATTTCAGAATGTTTATTTGGCGCTCTCTACTACAACTGCCTGAAAACCATACAGCATTTAGTAGCTTGATGGATAAGGGAACTCATGTGGCTTATCTGAACCTTCAGAAGAAGTACCCCATCAAAAGTAGAAAACTACTGAGAATATTGCAGAGGTATGCTTAACACACCGCAGCAGTGTGGGGGATGGGAACCAAGGGCTGAGTGTTTCCAAACCCCCTTCTCATGGAGGATTGCTTGGTCAGGGTTGACTCTCCTTGTCTGGTTTGTAGGGCTGTTTCATTTAGTTATTTATTTATTTTTGGTTTTTCGAGACAGGGGTTCTCTATGTAGTTTTTGGTGCTTGTCCTGGATCTCGTTCTGTAGACCAGGCTGGCCTTGAACTCACAGAGATCTGCCTGCCTCTGCCTCCTGAGTGCTGGGATTAAAGGCGTGTGCCACCACTGCCAGCTTGTAGGACTGTTTTAAAAACAAAAGATACACGTATCATGTATGGATGTGAGATTGTGTTATGTTCTTGGAAATCATACTCTCTCGGGTAATCCAAAGGAGCAAAGAAATCAGTGGGAAGAGCTTGGGCTTTAAGACAAAGACCCAGTTTTGACTCTATTCCATCTGCTTTTTCGTTTGGTTTTTCAAGACAGGGCTTCTCTGTGTAGTCCTTGCTGTCCTGGAACTCATTCTGTAGACCAGGCTAGCCTCGAACTCAGAGATCGCTTGCCACTGCCTCCCAAGTGCTAGGATTAAAGGCGTGTACCACCACCTGGCCTTGACTCTTTATTCCATCATTTAATAAAGGATATGTCTTTCCTCCCCCATCCTTAATTTTTTGACAGGAAATGGGGTTGGAGCTGATCACCCCAACATTGTGAGATTATTGGGGTATTTGAAGACAGTGTCACTTAGAACAGTGTCTAGTTCATAGTAGACACTTGGTAAATGCTAGTCGTAAACCCCGTATGTCCAAGTGCAGGTATTGCAAGTGTGTCCAGCTGCAACCCACACGCTGCATGAAGCTGAGCATGGCTATGAAGGTAACAACACAGAGCTGCAGACCTACTTAAAATATTGTAAGATTTTCTTTTTCAGTAACTGGATCGCACAGTTCTCAAGTGTGAACTTTGTAGGTGACAGCATGTCACATCACAAGGCTGAGCACTAATGTCTTCATTGTTAGGTAAATACGTACTTAATTTATATCACAGGTAGAGAAACCAAGGCATAGAGAGGTTGGATAATGTGATCTGGTCACTTGTGAGAGCTGGAACTGCTCCTCGTCTCTAGAATCCAGGGCCTTTTTGCAGAGTTTTTAGGATGAAAAACTGCAAGCTTACGTAAATGTGGGACACGGTGAAGAGCAGCCTTGTGCCCTTGCTGGCTTCAGCAGTTGGCCGGCTTGTGGACCAGCTTGTTGCTCCACCCTCTCCACAGCAGCTTCTCTGCTGCCTCCCTAGACATGCATGCACATACCATGCTAAATGTTTACACGTGCGCCTTTAAAGCTGGAGACTCCTTTCCTCCAGCCTGTGTGTGTTTGTACTGCCATTATCACACCGACAAGAAAGCTCACTCTTGTAGCCCACATACCCAGTCAGCATCCCCACTACTGATAGACTTGGGAAACTTTATGGTAAGCTTGGTCATAAAATCTGGATTCCAGCAAGTTACACACATAGTATTTGATTGACACTGCCCCTCAAAGTCTCTTTTCTTTTTATAATTTTATTATTTGTTTTGGCTTTTTTGGAACAGTGTCTGTGTAGCCCAGGCTGTCCTGGAACTTTAGCCCTCCTGCCTCTGCCTCATGAGAGCTGGGGTTCTGGGCCTGGGCCACGACCCCTGAGCCTCTTTTGGTCTACAGATTGTTTCCCTGCAATGTATTTGTGGAGGAACCAGGACTCACCCTGCATACTCCACCACGGTCTGGGTTTGCTGGTTTATTCCCTTACAGTTGTTTGCTCTATTTCTCTTTATCCACGATGTACTCTAAACTGATCACGCATGCACAGCCCTGATCGGAGCCAGGTATTCGTCTCTCCACCTGGTGGTGTGCTGCGTGACGTTATAGGTGGTTTTGTGTACTTCCGTTAGGAGGTTTTGGTCACTGGTTGTTTCTCTCTTGAAGGCGACACTGGTTATTACTGACCATCATCTAGGTCTATTGCAGCCCAGAGATTAGCAAAACACGGACAGTCTACTTCTGTCATTCCTTCTCTTTAGTACGTGGACAGTTTCCATAAAGAACACTTTCCAAGGGTTGGGAAATGACTCAGTTCATAAAGCACTTGCCTTGCAGGCCAAAGGATCTGAGTTCAATCCCCAGAACCCACATAAAAGTCTGGGGCAGTGTGCATATTTGCAGTCCCAGGGGTGGGATGATGGAGGCGGAGACGGCAGATCCCTGGAAGCTCGATGGCCAACTAGTTAGTTCAGCTCAGTCGGTGAAGTTCAGGCCAAGAAGAGGCCCTGTCTCAAACCAAAGGTGAAGGATGCCTGAGGACAACAGCCACGATTGTCCGCTGATTGCCTCACACGGACACATGGGCTCCCACATACACATGTACCTCTCCCCACATGAAAACACACACACACACACACACGCACACACACACGCACGCACACACGCATGCACGCATGCAAAGAAAGACAAGGTTCCCATCATCAACTTAAAATTTTTACCAGTTTTCAGCCGGGCGGTGGTGGCGCACGCCTTTAATCCCAGCACTTGGGAGGCAGAGCCAGGCGGATCTCTGTGAGTTCGAGGCCAGCCTGGTCTCCAAAGCGAGTTCCAGGAAAGGCGCAAAGCTACACAGAGAAACCCTGTCTCGAAAAACCAAAAAAAAAAAAAAAAATTTTACCAGTTTTCAAAACAGTAAGTTAATTATCTTAGAATGCCCCAAATAATAAGTTTATACATTCTAAACTTAGATTTAAACATAGGCCTTTCTGGTGGACTGGGTGAGGAAAGAGTTTATAGTGATATTTTTCTATCAAATTTAGGATTAAAACCTTTTTTTTGCATAACTTCTTTGATTTTGTGTTTGAATCTTTTAGAGTAAAAAAAAATCTTGATTCATAATAACATTGATGTGCATGTGTGTGTGTATATCACTGGCATCAAACCTCAGGCCTTTTGCATGGTCAGTAAGCACTGTACCACTGAGGCACACCTATAGCCTGCTTTTTCTACATGTACACCGACTTCTGAACTCTGTACTGTATGTGTGTTAAAAACCGTATGTGTGGGGATAGGACAGCTGTATCTTACATTATTGTTTTGGGTAGGTGATTGATGTTTTTGTTATTTTGTGTTTGAGGTGGGGTCTTACTATATAGCTCTAGCTGGCCCCATACTTGGAATGTAAGCCAGCTTGCCTTAACTCATGACAATCCTCCTGCCTCAGGTTCTCCAGGTATGTATCACCATGCCTGGTTCATATTAGGATTATTGAAAATAGTTGAAGTGCTTTCTAGGGTTTTTTTTTTCCTCCTTAAACTATAGCCCACAAGCATGTATAATAAAATTATTATTTTAGAATTACTTAACCATTACTATGGTAATGCCACAAATTCACTACATAGTTAGATTAATTTGTTACATTTATTTTCAGTGTTTTTTGATTTGGTTCTGTTTCTTCTTCACTGGAGTTTGACTTCAGAGTCAGTGAGGCCCTGAAGTTTTTGTTTCATTTAAACTTTATTTTGTTTTATACTCTCATACAAAATAAGGTTTATTCAAGTCAGTCTGGCTTCTGTTCCCTCCACCCTGTTTGCTCATTAGTAATCCTGTCAGTAAACATTCCATAATCACATGTGTGTTTGTGCTTTTCCTTATGCGGCTGTTGATTGACTGTGGATTGACTATCACACACGTCTAGACCCTGCTTTGGGTGAGGGCGTTTGAGCAGTGCAGAGGCATTCTGCATCTGCTTCTGTAGCTGCCCGTGCCCAGTGCACGGTGATTCACTGACCTGTCCCTGCTAAGGAATGTCTGGGTTGTTCCCAGTCTTTGCTCTTAAGGGGTGCTTAGTCATTTAGCTTCGCCTATACAGATTTTTAAAAATTTGCCAGGTGGTGGTGGTGGTGGTGGCGGCGGCGGCGGCGGCGGCGGTGCAGCACGCCTCTAATCCCAGCACTCGGGAGGCAGAGCCAGGTGGATCTCTGTGAGTTTGAGGCCAGCCTGGGCTACAGAGTGAGATCCAGGACAGGCACCAAGCTACACAGAGAAACCCTGTCTCAAAAAAACCAAAAAACTAAACAAACAAACAAAAAACAACAACAACAAAAAATTTGATGTACCTTAAGTTTTGAATTCGATAAAATAATCAGCTGACTTTGACACTTATTTTACTCATTTGGCCCCTACATTTAATTTTCTTTCCTGCTGTGCATGGTAAGTCTGCATAAAATGACATTATATTTTTGGTTGTGAACCTAGCCTTTAATGACTGAGCCATCTCTCCAGGTATAAATGACATTATAATTGTCAGAATACCCGTGTGCCTTGCCTGTGATTCTTGGTTCAAGTATGCAGAGTCAAACACAGCAAGTGCTTTGGTAGGAAGCCTTGTCTTTGTAGATGCAGGAGGAAATGTAAACCAATGGGAATGTGTTCCTTTGGAAAAGATCATTTTCACACATTCCTCTGAAATACTGATTTGCCTCTGTTCGGAGGATGAACAGACCACGTATCCTTCTGTTGATCCCATCCCTGAGGGAAATCAGGAATTGGTTTTGTCAATAGATAAAAGCACCCGAGATGCTGACTTTCGTCTGATGATTCTGCTCGGAGAAGGAAACACTCTTGTTGTATTTCTGCCTGCATAATGTGTGGATGGGCACTTCCTGAGGTCCAGTTTCCTAAACTCTACCTAAGGTGGCAAGAGTTTCCATAAAATGTGGTCAGTTGGATGCATAAAGCAAGTCTGTGTCTACTAATCCATTTACAATTAAAGTTACTATTTTAATTATAATTCTGTATACATACTTTAAATTATCCTCATTTTTTCCTTCCTTTTGTTTTTCAGTTTCTGTTTTTCTAATGTCTTTTCTTTGAGACAGAATCTCACTATCTAGCTCAGTGTGGCCTGGAACTTACCGTGTCAAGCCAGCCTTAGAGTCTCGATCCTCCTGCTTTAGACCCCACAGGCTGAGTTTACAAGTTAGGAGCCATCACATCTGATTTATTTTTCTAAATTTTAATTTAGAAATTCAAAATCGGGTGCTAGAGATGGCTCAAAGGTTAAGAATACTGGCTGCTTTTCAGAGACCCCACGTGGCAGCTCACCGCTATATTACTCCACCAGACCATTTCTTCTAGTCTTTGAGGGTCCCAGGCAGGCAAGGTACTCATATACATAAAATAAAAATTTATTTATTTATTTATTTTTGTTTTTTTTCAAGACAGGGTTTCTCTGTGTAGCTTTGGAGCCTGTCCTGGGTCAAGCTCTGTAGACCAGGCTGACCTCGAACTCACAGAGATCCGCCTGGCTCTGCCTCCCAAGTACTGGGATTAAAGGCGTGCGCCACCACCACTGGCTAAAATATTTATTTTATTTTTATAGTTTATTTTATAACTTTAATTCAAAATTATAATTTAATGAAAGAGAATTGTTTTCAGCTTGATTAGACAAGTGCAGAAAGGTGAGACCTGTCTGGTTATGGATTGTACTGAAGAAACAAACCATGTTTCTTTTTTAAGTACTATAACGATGTGACTATATAAGTGAATGCTTGTTTTAACTAAATTAACTAAAAATTTTTAAAATTACATATATTTCTATTATTTCTTTTTTTTTTTTTTTTTTTTTGGTGTGTGTATGTGAGCATGCCATGTGCACACTTGTGGAGGTGAGGGGTCAGTTTGTGAGAATTCTTTCCTACTCCTGTGCAGGTCCCGGGAACTGAACTCAGCTTGCCAGGCTTACATTCCAGCTCACTTACCTGCTAAGCCATTTTACCAGCACTGCCCGCCCCCCTCTATTTTTTTTAAAGATGTATACTTAACTATTAACGAATAAAATGACGTGTTAAAGATTTGCTAAGCTACTGTGGTAAAGTGGTGGAGGTAGGGTAAATCCATGTGCATGACAGATGACTGCTTCCTACCTTCGTATTTTGAACATTTCAAGTACCTTCAAATTCTCTATTGTAATCTTTTAAAATGAATGTAGTTCTTGGGTACGAGAGCTTCCCGCCCTTCCAGAGGACCAGAGTCTGGTTCCTAGCGCCTATGTCAGGTGCTCACAACCTCTTCTAACTTTACCCCCGGGGATGTGTGTGACTGCTGCTTCTGCCTCCACAGACACAGACAGACAGAGACACATACAATAAAATCAATGTGTAATTGGATAGCTGCGGCGGCGGCGGTGCAGAGGTCTTAGGGAAGTCTGTGCTTTTCCGCCCGAAGTCGGCTCGCACTGGAAGCAGCTGCTCGTTTTGGGCTGGCTTCCATAGGTATATAATGCAGACACAGGCATACTGGGTATTTTGATTGGATTGGATTTTTTTCCCCTAAGTCTCCCTAAGTAGCTCAGGCTGGCCTAGAACTGGCGATCTTCCTGCCTTGGCCTCCCAAGTAGAGCGTGATTGCAGGTGTGTGTTCCCACTACACACACAGTTAACAGAAATAGGATCTATGCTATTTTGTCTTTTTGTTTTCCTTTAAGAGTCTCTCATTGCCCTCCTTTAGTATAGATTGCTGTGCCCGATTTTGTGTGTGCATTTGCCATGGCACATATGTGGGGTCAGAGGACAACTTGGTGACCCTGGTGGTGGTGGTGCTTTAATCCTAGCACTAGGGAGGCAGATCTCCAAGTTCCAGGACAGCCAGGGCTACTCAGAGAAACCGTCTCAAATTACCCATAATAATACAATAAAATTTTAAAAATAAAATGAGATAAAAAAGAACTTTGACAGAAATGTGTATGAGTCAGGGTTCTCTAGAGGAGCAGAACTGATAGAATGAATGAATACATACATACGTACATACATACATACATATATACATACACATACATACACATACATACATATATTCAGAAAGGGGATTTGTAAGAATGGCTGACAGTCTGTGGTCCATCTAGTCCAACAATGGCTGTCTACCAATTGAAGTCCAAGAATCCAACAGTTGTTCAGTCCATGAGGGTGAATATCTTAGCTGGCCTTTGGTGTCCTCCAGAATCTTGAAAAAGTAGGCTCTAATGCCTCTGAAAGAATGGACTTGCCAGCAGGAGTCAAGGCAAGCAGACAGAGCAAGCTTCCTTCTTCCTTCTCCTTTAGATAAGCTATTACCAGAAGGTGGGTCCCAGATTAAAGGTGGGTCTTCCCACCTCAGAAGATCCAGATTAAAAATGGGTCTTCCCATTTCAAATTATTTAATTAAAAAAAAAAATCCCTCACAGGTGTACCCAGCCCAGTTTTAGTTATTTCCAGATATAGTCAAGTTGGCAACCAGGAATAACCATCACAAAATGTTGATAACACTTTGAAGAGCCTTGAGAAAATAGACATCCCTTCACAATGTCAGCGGCAACATAAATAGACATTCCGTTGAGGATTATGTGTCATTGGCTATTGAAATTACAGCTGTGCATATCTTAGTGTTTATCCAAGTCTGTTTTCCCACTTGAAGAAAGATGCACATATAATGGTACTCAGTGCGGCATTGTTTATGAAAGCAGAAAGACCCCAAGGCCCAATGATAGGAATCTTATTTAAATAAATGAGATTCCTCAGCACAAAGCTCTCATAGACACCAAGAAAACACCATGAGGGTATTTACACTCCAGATCCTGATATTAACGTTTCAAGTAATAACTGAAAACTTCAAGACACAGAACAGTATTTATGTAATACCACCATTGTGTGGGGTTGAGTTCTTTTGTTGGTGTGAGGGCAGATTGGGGTTGGGTTTTTTTGTTTGTTTTGTTTTGAGATGGGGTCTCACTATGTATCTCTGGCTGGCTTGGACCTCACAATGTAGACCAGGCTGGCTTCTAGTTCCCGGAGATCTGTCTGCCTCTGCCTCTCCATTGCTGAGATCAAAGGTGTGTGCTACCCGTGCCCAGTGATTCTAAAGAGGGGAACTGTATGATGGGGAAAGAAAGTCTCCACCAAATCTGAATTAGTTACTAAGACACACTGTGATAACGCTGTCCCTTTCTGGTCTTTATTTCCATTTTATTTTATTTTATTTTATTTTATTTATTTATTTATTTATTTATTTATTTATTTATTTATTTATTTGTTTATTTATTTATTTATTTATTTATTTCCAGAACCCTCTCTGCATTAGCTCACTGGTCTGCGATCTTCAGTGACACTCCATATCTTCCACTCTTGGCTTTTCCATTTGTGAAATTGTTCCAGAACAATCAGCTCATCTGTTTTGAAGTTGTTGCTACTCTCATAAGTAAGTACTTCAGAATCAAACCAAGAATGGAGTCTCACGTGTCTTCCTGGTGTCTTGGTACCTTTGCCACATGCAGGGAATCTAGATCTCTTCATTTTTTTTTTTTAAAGATTTATTTATTACATATACAGTGTTCTGCCTGTATGTATCCCTGCAGGCCAGATGAGGGTACCAGATGTCATTACAGATAGTTGTGAGCCACCATGTGGTTGCTGGGAATTGAACTCAGGACCTCTGGAAGAGCAGTCAGTGCTCTTAACCCCTGAGCCATCTCTAGATCTCTTCATTTTTGAGTCAAGAAGTATGAAACAGTCAAGTTTAGAGCAAAAAGTAGACACACCAATCATGTATATGTAGAGAGTAGGAATTTTTAGACAGTATTGTTGTAGGTGGTTTCGGTTAGAAAGAAGCCAGTTTCACACTTAGTTGGGACCGGTTGCTTTTCACAGAATTGCTGAAGGGTGGAGCCCTTGGCACACAGTGCCTGCTGGGTAGTGCCCAGGCGCTGGCTGCTGCCCTCATCCCCACCATCTGAGGCTCATGATAGCGAGCAATTCGTGTGCCAAATTGTTCTCGCTGTCTCACTATGTTTTGCTCAGTTTACCTTCCTAGCCACCCTGTGCAATAGGTATGAGTACCCCCTTTCTACAGGTGACCCCCAAGTTCTGAGGCTGGGTTAGACCAGTCTGCTCCTGGTCATTCTAACAGCAGCAATTTAAAGAAGTTGAAATCTTGTCGAGATTTTACTTCTGGATTAATTATTAGCTCAAATTTAAATGTATGATAATAAGTGAAATAACAGAGTTCTAGAATTAGAAAACCTTTGTAAACTGTATAATACTCTGATGGAACTGCTGCTGCTGACCTGAGATGAGAGGTCATAACATCAAGGAATACAGCTTTTTTTGTTGCTGTGACAAAGACCTGAGGAAAGTCGCTTAAGGAAAGTGGCTTCTGGTGCATCATGGGAGGAGAACCATGGCAGCGCGTCACACTGCATCCTCAGGCATACAGCAGGAGCTCCCTGTAGTACCGATGCGTCACGTGCTTTCCCTGTCTGTGGAATGGAGCCACCATATTGATGGTGGCCCTTCTCACCTCATTTAAACCTCTCTGGAAATGTCCTCACAGACGTGCCCAGAAGTTTGTCTCCTAGATGTGTTTAAGTTTTATCAGGTTGACAATAAGGGTAAACCAAAACACATGGCCTTTTCTAAGAAAATCCCTTTGTTAATCAAAGACTGAAAATACAGGAGTCAGCAGGAACCAGAAGATCCAACATGTTGGCTTAGGAATGGTTTGGAAGAGTGTGTGTGTATACACATGTTTTTATTGACACATTTTCAGTGACTGCCCTGAAGAAATTGGCAGATTGTCTTTATGCCTGAATTACTTTATTAACACCATGGAGTTTTGAATCCTCATGATCTAGAAACTAAAAAGATACTATCTCTTCTTTATTCATGAACCTATTGAAGAGAAAAAAAAATGGATTCACTGGGGCTGGTGTTAACGGGCCTGTGATCCCGGCTAATCCAGAGGCAGAGACAGGTGGACCATAAGTTCAAGGCCTGCCTTAGAACCTGTAACTAACTAACTAACTAAATGCGTAAATAGGCTGAGGGTACAGCTTAGTGATAGTGTTGCCTAGCATGTGTAAGGCTCCTGTGTCCCACCCACAGGACTAGAGATAAAAAAAAAGTCCCAGTGTGGTTGCCTGTAATCCCTACATTAGATTGGCTGAGATAGGAGGATTAGAAGTTTGAGACTAGCCTGGGAATATGAATATATACATACATACACACACAAATATAGTGAGACTGTCTCAAGAAAAAATCCTTTTATAATACATAAGAATATTTAAAGAAAAATTTTCTGATTTTTTTTTCCTTTGTAGTCAATTGGTGTCAACATTGGTTTGAGTACTTTCCTAACCCTCCCATCAATATTCTTAGCATGATAGAAAATGTTTTGGCATTTCATGACAAGGAACTGCTACAGCACTTTATAGATCGAGATGTGACTTCCCAGGTAAGAAATAGAAGGGCTTTAGCATGCCATCATTTATTTTGAGAGCTAAGATTGACTCTGTATGGATAAAACAGTATTTCTCCCAGTGAATAATGAAAGGTATATTCTAATTTATAATTTTTAAATTAAATTAATTTATTGTGTGTGTATGTATATACATTTGTGGGCGTGTGTGCAAGACTTACACTTAGGTCACCCAGCATGATAGCAAACAGCTGTGCCTACTAAGCTGTCCTGACACACAGTCTGTATTTTTTGTTTGTTTGTTTGTTTTTGTTTTGTTTTTTGAGACAGGGTTTCTATGTGTAGTTTTGGCACCTTTTCTGGAACTTACTCTGTAGCCCAGGCTGGCCTCGAACCCACAGAGATCCACCTGCCTCTGCCTCCCGAGTGCTGGGATTAAAGGCGTGTGCCACCACCTCCTGGCACAGTCTGTATTTTTATCAATTTGCCGTTCTTCTTTAAGTTACCTTCCTGAAGGTCTAGGAAGAGAGTCCAAATAGGAGCTGAGGGTGCAGTTGAGTGGTGGAGCACTTGTGTACTTGAGGCCTTGTGTACTCGAGGCCCTGGTTTGGTCTCTAGCCTGGGGCAAAGCAGAAGCATTGTCCGAATTACCACAGTTCTTTTCATACTTATGCACTGAATGTATTTACCGCACAGCTTCAGTTGCCGGTGACGTTTTGACTCTTAGATTGTCAATACGGAATACATCCTTTCTGTTTGCTTCAGCTGTATGCCTGGCCTCTCCTCGAAACTGTGTTCTCAGAAGTGCTGACAAGAGAGGAGTGGCTCCGATTATTTGACAACGTCTTCTCCAATCACCCTTCCTTCCTCCTCATGACCGTGGTGGCCTACAATACCTGCTCTAGAGCGCCTTTGCTCAACTCTACTCTTAAAGATGATTTTGAGGTAAGTACCCATGCATGGAGGAGATCCTCAAGGCTGGAAGTATAGTCTGTGGTGGAGTGCTTGCCTAGCACATGAGAGGCCTCGGGTTCCATCCCATCACCCACCAAGTCGACAACAAACCCCAAACAAGAAGCTCTCACTTGTCAGCTGTTTACACTGAGAAGTACATTTCTTGACTGAGAGCCTACTGGTCAGACATTGGTGCTAGGTGGTAGAAATAGAATAGATAAAGAGTTGGATCACACCCCTGACCCTGTGTAGATTATTGACAAGCAGGTTGTTATGACCAGGTTGTTTTTCCTTGGTAAGAGCATTGAACACTTGGTTGTTGTTTGTTCTTTGAATGATCTCATTGTCAGCCCCTCTGGTCTGTGGTAGTCTGGAAATGTGTGTAGAATAGTACTTGAGGTTTCTTTGTGCTCAGCCAGTTTTGGATTTTTGAAACAAGGCCTTGTTATGTAGCCCAGGCTAGTTTCAAACTGCTCTGTAACACAGGCCAGCCCGGAACTCATGGCAGTCCTTCTGCCTTTGGCTCTCAAATGCTGGAATTACAGCTGTGTGACCTGTGATGTCAGCAACAGGAAGGCTCAGGCAGGAGGATCACAAGTTTGAGGCCAGTTTGGGCTTTGTATCCAATTCTCGGGCTAGTCTGAGCTATTACACAGTAACAAAAAAGCAAAAGCGCTCTGTGACCGGACCCCCCAGAGCCTCTCCTTCCCTCCCCCGGCTTCAAAGCTCAGGCCTCACCATAGCTAGTGTTTCCCCTACACCTTCCTTGGGGTCAGTTGCCCTGTGTCTCCTGCCCCTTGAATGTGTGTTTCTGCATCTGATGCTATCCTTATTTTTATTTCTTCTGAGTAATGGCGTGCTTTGCTGAGTAAACTGTGATTTAAACATCGAGTTTTCTTACAGTATTTTTTTCACCATCGGAATAACCTGGACATAAATGTTGTGATTAGAGAAGTTTATCATCTCATGGAGACTACACCTGCTGATATTCATCCAAGGAGCATGCTGGATGCTTTTGTTGCATTGACAAAAGGGCAATATCCCATATTTAATCAATACCCGAAGTTTATTGTGGACTATCAGACGCGGGAACGAGAAAGGATCAGGAATGACGAGCTGGATTTCTTGAGAGAGAGGTAATCATGTAATAATTATTCTTGAGATAAATGAGACATTATAAATAAGAAAGGTTTTATTTTTCTTTTTTTTTTTTTTTTTTTTTTTTTTGGTTTTTCGAGACAGGGTTTCTCTGTGTAGCTTTGCGCCTTTCCTGGAACTCACTTGGTAGTCCAGGCTGGCCTCGAACTCACAGAGATCCGCCTGGCTCTGCCTCCCGAGTGCTGGGATTAAAGGCGTGCACCACCACCGCCCGGCAGGTTTTATTTTTCTTTAGGTTATTTTTGTTTATGTATATGTATGTGTCCTTGCATGGGCTTGTGGGCACAGTGTGTGTGAAGGTGCCCATTGAAAACAGAGAGTTCCAGAGTTCCTGGAGTTACAAGTGGTTATGAGCTACCAGATAGGGGTACTTGTAGGCAGAGTTTTCCCATCCTGGGAGCTGCTTCCAAATTACCACACAGAGACTTATATTAATTGTAAATGCTTGGCCAATAGCTCAGGCTTATTACTAACTGGCTCTTACAGTTGAATTAACCCATTTCTATTAATCCATGTTTTGCCATGTGGCTCATGGCTTTACCTGTGCTCTGGAGCGTCTTGTTCCCCGGAAGGCTGGCTGGCATCTCTCCAACTGTCCTTCTTTCCCCCAGCATCCTCAGTCAGATTGCCCTGCCTATACTTTTGGCCTGGCTATCAGCCAATCAACATTTTATTAACAGTGTACATAGTCCACACAGCAGGTGCTAGGAATCGAACCTGGTCCTGTGCAAGAACAGCACATGATCTTAACCTCTGAGCCTTTTCTCCAGCCCCAAGTAAAAGTTTTTAATGAGAAATCAACTTTGAATTCTAAAGTGTGTGTATAAATCCAAATGTGAAGGCTAGAGGTGTCTTTAAAGATGCCTACTTTCTCCTGTATCTGAAAACAAAACCACACATTGTACTCTCAGCAGGTTCTACATTGTGTATCTTGGTTATTTTGAATTAAATTGCTTCACTTCTTGTCTGCATTTTTATAATAGTAAATATTGTCGACTTCAGGCAGACAGTTGAAAATATGCAAGCTGAAGTGGATGAGCAGAGAGCTGAGGATGCGGCTTGGTACCAGAAGCAAGAGCTGCTCCGGAGAGCAGAGGAGACAAGAAGAGAGATGCTTCTGCAGGAGGAAGAGAAAATGGCCCGGCAGAGACACAGGTGCAGTCCTCCTGACCCGGCGGGGACACGGGTGCAGCAGTCCTCCTGACCCGGCGGGGACGCGGGTGCAGTCCTCCTGACCCGGCGGGGACGCGGGTGCAGTCCTCCTGACCCGGCGGGGACACGGGTGCAGTCCTCCTGACCCGGCAGGGACACGGGTGCAGCAGTCCTCCTGACCCGGCAGGGACACGGGTGCAGTCCTCCTGACCCGGCAGGGACACGGGTGCAGCAGTCCTCCTGACCCGGCGGGGACACGGGTGCAGTCCTCCTGACCCGGCAGGGACACGGGTGCAGTCCTCCTGACCCGGCGGGGACACGGGTGCAGTCCTCCTGACCCGGCAGGGACACGGGTGCAGTCCTCCTGACCCGGCAGGGACACGGGTGCAGCAGTCCTCCTGACCCGGCGGGGACACGGGTGCAGTCCTCCTGACCCGGCGGGGACACGGGTGCAGTCCTCCTGACCCGGCGGGGACACGGGTGCAGTCCTCCTGACCCGGCAGGGACACGGGTGCAGTCCTCCTGACCCGGCAGGGACACGGGTGCAGTCCTCCTGACCCGGCGGGGACGCGGGTGCAGCAGTCCTCCTGACCCGGCGGGGACGCGGGTGCAGCAGTCCTCCTGACCCGGCAGGGACACGGGTGCAGTCCTCCTGACCCGGCAGGGACACGGGTGCAGTCCTCCTGACCCGGCGGGGACGCGGGTGCAGCAGTCCTCCTGACCCGGCGGGGACGCGGGTGCAGTCCTCCTGACCCGGCGGGGACGCGGGTGCAGTCCTCCTGACCCGGCAGGGACACGGGTGCAGTCCTCCTGACCCGGCAGAGACACGGGTGCAGCAGTCCTCCTGACCCGGCGGGGACACGGGTGCAGTCCTCCTGACCCGGCGGGGACACGGGTGCAGTCCTCCTGACCCGGCGGGGACACGGGTGCAGTCCTCCTGACCCGGCGGGGACACGGGTGCAGTCCTCCTGACCCGGCGGGGACACGGGTGCAGTCCTCCTGACCCGGCGGGGACACGGGTGCAGTCCTCCTGACCCGGCGGGGACACGGGTGCAGTCCTCCTGACCCGGCGGGGACACGGGTGCAGTCCATGTGACCCAGCAGGGACACGGGTGCAGTCCTCCTGACCCGGCGGGGACACGGGTGCAGTCCACATGACCCAGCAGGGACACAGATGCAATCCACCCGACCCGGCAGGGACGCGGGTGCAGCAGTCCTCCTGACCCGGCGGGGACACGGGTGCAGTCCACTGCTGTGGCAAACCTCGGACAGGAGTCAGACAGGTTGTTTCCTCCCCTTTCTTACGTAGAACACTGTATGTTAAGTTACCCAGCCTAATTTCCATTACGCAAATACATAAGGTAATAAAAAGTGTATATGCCTCCTAAACTTACATGTAGTAAAATTAATACTAAAGCAATGTTGAATCTGCTCCCCCTGCCCCACATGAATTTTCAGAAGTAATGTAAGCTCTAATGTATTTTGAAAAACATTGTTTAGCAATATTCATTCTAAGCCAGGCATGATTCATTCCTGTCATCCCAACACCCTAGGAGGTTTGAATCTAGTCTAGGCTTCATAGTGGGGTTCCAGACCAGACTGGGCTACAGAGTGAGACCTGTCTCTTTTAAAAAAAAAAAAAAAAAAAAAAAATTCTATGGTAAGTAGAAATGCTTTGTAATAAATAGTGTTGGAAAATCACTCTTGTTGGTAATTTTTTTTTCTTTTTGTTTGTTTTTCAAGACAGGGTTTCTCTATGTAACAGCCATGGCTGTCCTGGAACTCATTCTGTAAACCAGGCTGGCCTCGAACTTATAGAGATCCACCTGCCAAGGCATGAACCTCCACCACTGGCTTTCTCTTTTTTCTTTTGGTTTTTTGAGACGGGGGTAGACCAGGCTGGCCTCGAACTCGCTGAGATCTACCTCCTAAGTGCTAGGATTAAAGGCATGTGCCACCACTGCCCAAAACAATGTAATTTTTTAAATTATGCTTAAACATAGCTATATGATCCAACAAATTGAAACATAAATAGTTATCTCCTTATGCATTTAGAACTTCGGCAATGCCAGGTGTGGTAGTGTGTGTCTTTAATACCACCACTTAGGAGGCAGAAGCGTGTGGAACTCTTGAGTTCAGGGACAGCCAGGGTTACACAATGAGACCTTGTCTCAAAGCAAACAAACACCCAAGATCTTTGACAAGAGGCTGGAGAGATGACTCCGTGGTTCTGAGTATTTGCTGCTCTTGTAGAGGACCTGGGTTTGGTTCCCAGCACCCACAAGACATCCACAACCTTCTGTAACTTTAGTTCCTAGGGGTCCAGTGCGTCTTTATGACTTCTACGGGCTCCAGACATGCATGTGGCAAACACTTTATACATAAGATAAATAAAGTTATAACATTTAAACTTTGGCAAAGGGAGACATCTCTTGCCCAAGCTTCCCTGGTGCTAGGGAAACAGGTGTGCCTCCACACTCAGCTTGAGGAACTGACTTCTCTCCATGTTTATTGATTCTTATTTCTTTTTTTTTTTTTTTTTTTTTTTTTTTTGGTTTTTTGGCAGGGTTTCTCTGTGTAGCTTTGCGCCTTTCCTGGAACTCACTTGGTAGCCCAGGCTGGCTTCGAACTCACAGAGATCCGCCTGCCTCTGCCTCCTGAGTGCTGGGATTAAAGGCGTGCACCACCACCACCCGGCTGATTCCTATTTCTATGACCAGCTGATTCCTATTTCTATGAGCAGTGAAAATCAATTATAGAGCTGATGGCCTCCACTAACACCGTAAAGGATGTGGGTACCCTGCTTGGTGCCATTGTCGTGGTTTTGCGGTCATCCTCTTCAGCTGAAGAGTATCACTGTACTGAAATGATGTGATAGCGCTGGGCTGCAGCTTGCTGCCAGAGCACTTGCCTTGCATGCAGGAGGCCCCAGGATTCCATCAGGGCACTGGGAAAGGAGCTCACAGGTAGACTGTTGGAAGGTGAACCAGAAAGGATAAGGATGGCCAGTTGCACTGACCATGACCCTCTCGAGTACTGACTTTGTTTATTGCAAACACAGTTGTGTTGCAGTGGACAAAATGTATCCAAACAGCTCAAGCAACTCAGTGAAGAAAAAAAAAAAAATCAAAGGTGTGTTGGAAAGTACTTTGATATGGTTTGTTTTTCAGGCTAGCTGCTGTGAAAAGAGAGCTGAAGATGAAGGAAATATGCTTACAGGATGCTGCTAGGAGGCGTTTTCTGAAGCTTCAGCAAGATCAGCGTGAAATGGAGCTGCGCAGGCTGGAGGATGAAATTGAGAGAAAGGTCTGTCAGCTTTAATCTTAATCAAGATCTCTGTTTATCCTCATGTAACGAACACCTTCCAATTAAGTAATGATGCTAGTGTCCATGACGAACACTACAACAACCCCGTCAGTGTTATTTACTGTACCATTCAGCTATTCTTATACCAAGAAATCAGTCAGTTTAATGACTTTCTCCAGAAGTAAAAGTATGTCAGGTATCAGTTGTGAACTGGGGGAAGTTAGTCAATTTAATGACTGTTTCTCCAGAAGCGAAAGTATGTCAGCTATCAGTTGTGAGCTGGGGGAAATATTCTTCTCTACTATAAAAATGCACATGTGACCAATATAAAAAGAATTTCCAGTACAGAACATCTGGAGTTAGAGAGGGGGCCCCTCTGTGCTTCCTCATTTCTAGAGCTGAGATGTCTAGGGTATGAGTATTTTAAGTGTGTATCTTACCCATGGCGTATTCACCAGTGAGCTGCTGTGTAGCCACAGGAAAGAGAAACTGACCCCTCAAAACACTATGGAAAGACAGTGAACAGTCAGTTTTTTAAACACGGTGCAAAATGGAAAGCAAATAAAAATTTATATAACATAAGAAAATACATAGTTACTCTTGAACCTGTAGAGACAAGGAAAGACTGTGTAATTAACCCTTTTCTTTTAAAAACAAAACCCAGGTTAGTCTCTGAAGACGAAATGTCTCCAGATTAACTGACATTTCTACCCAGATAGGTGGCAGCCTGCATTCATTTGCCTTTGCGGTTTGTTTTTGCCCAACAGTCACATAGTTGTTGACTGCCATGCAGTGTATGGTTGGGATATTAACCCTTGTCTGTTGTAAATATGTTCAGCTGTCTTTTACCCTTTGCTTCTTAAAAATGTTAATAGTGTCATTTGTTTGTTTGTTTGTTTGGTTGGTTTTTGTTTTTTGGTTTCTTTTGGTTTTTCAAGACAGGGTTTCTATGTGTTGCTGTGGGATGTTCTGTATGGCAAATGTGTTGCTGATTGGTCAATAAATAAAACACTGATTGGCCATTGGCTAGGCAGGAAGTATAGGCGGGACAAGGAGGAGAATAAAGCTGGGAAGTGGAAGGCTGAGTCAGAGAGACACTGCCAGCCGCCACGATGACAAACAGCATGTGAAGATGCCGGTAAGCCACGAGCCACGTGGCAAGGTATAGATTAACAGAAATGGATTAATTTAAGCTGTAAGAACAGTTAGCAAGAAGCCTGCCACGGCCATACAGTTTGTAAGCAATATAAGTCTCTGTGTTTACTTGGTCGGGTCTGAGCGGCTGTGGGATTGGCAGGTGAGAGAGATTTGCTCTGACCATGGGCCCGGCAGGAAAACTTTAGCTACAATGTGTAGCTTTTGGAGCCTATCCTGGAACTCATTTTGTGGGCCAGGCTGGCCTTGAACTCACAGAGATTCACCTGCCTCTGCCTCCTGAGTGCTGGGATTAAAGGTGTGTGCCACCACTGCCCAGCTTGTTTTTATTTTGAATAGTATCTTAATTTTAAAATTATTGGCAAGGTGGTGGTGGTGTCAGAAACCCTGTGACCCTCAAGCCTGAAATATTTTCCATCTGAGGCTTTTTTTGCCAGCTCCGAGTGTATCTGAAGACTGACTGTAAAGAGTGAGTTAGGGACCAGGCTTACCTCTTCGTAGAAGGCATGCCAGGATCCCAACGCCGTTTGTTGAGTGTTAGCGAAGCCACTTGCTGGGTGAGGGTTATTAGTGCATGGACTCCCTTGTTTGTCCCTGTCCAGCACCACGCTGGGTGACAGCGACTGTGGCTTTTTAACCTGGGCCTAATCCTCGCTCACTGTTCTTCTTTATTTGACTCAGTGTTCTCAAGTATTTACATTCCAAACAGAGAAGTTGTTCTTTCTGAATCTTCTCTCCCATCCGATTGAAATTCTTCTTATTATTATTATATTAAATTTATGCATTAGTTTTGGAAACTTAAAACCTAGTTTCAATAAAATACTAAATTTTTAAGTCTTGTAAAACATTTAATTTAATACTTCTTGTTTTGTTTAAGGCTAATTAATTTTAATTGGCTTTTACAATCTGCAGTTTTTTAAATTGCCTCATCAGTGAATCAAATTAATAGCCTTGTACTCTTAATAAAAAGTGTATGTTCTTTCCCAAAAGTGGTCCAATCTCAGAACTCTGATGTCTTTATCCCAAATCCTCTTGACATACAGCGAGGCATCCTGGTTCTTCTAAGCAGCAGCGGAGAGGCCCTGCATACCCTCTGGCTGCCTGTTCAGTGCTGTGCTCTGACTCTGCCCCAGCTCCAGCGGGGCGTGGACATAACTGTGGCCATCTACTCACAAACTCATGTGATCTTTTTGCATAACTCATGTGATCTCTTTGTGTCTCTGACAACTCATAATCGAATGACTGGACCCTCCTCCACAGAGTGCGGTGCTGTGCCCAGCCTCCCCTTCCCCTCTCCGTACTGCCAGGACTCTGGCTTCCTGCTCAGGCCTCACCTTAGCTAGTGCTTACCCCATAACTTCCTTCAGGTCAGTTGCGCAGTGTTTATTTTACCCCTTGAACGTGTGACTCTACATTCCACGGTGTCTTCATTTTTACTGCTTCTTCTCTTCTGAGTATTTAACAGCATGCGTTTTAGTCGATAGATATTTGATAGTGACCAAGCTAGTGATACAGTCCTTAAATGTTTGCTGAATGAATGGGTGGGAATTGATAGCTGGATAGTTGGTTGGTCATAGTTTTGCTGTTTTGTTTTCCAAATACACATCATTTACTCTATTCTCACATTTAAACATAACTGGGTCTGTAGGCAGCCAAATACTTTGAAGATGCTGTAGAGAGTCTCTTACCCAACCTCTGTCTTACAGAACTGCAAGCCCCAAGTAACCAAACTTGGAGACAGTGAGCTCCTGGTGGTCCACGCAGAGCACAGAACAGTCACAGGTCACAGGAAACCTGGACTTATGAGTTGTCAAATCAAATTTATAAAAAAGTTTAGAAGCTTAAGTTTTTAAACGAAATACATTATTTTAATAAGATTAAACATTGTTTCTCTCCACTCTAACTTGCAGTTACTTCCTTTTCTGTAACAGGGAAGAGCTGCCACCTGCTAGTCAGTCTGTCTCCGTGGGCATATGGCAGTTGTGCATGCTTTTTAAAAACATAAGCGTAACCCAGATTAGCCTTGGATCCCATGAGTACTGCTGTATCGCCAGTTACTCTACTTTATCCCAGTTCCTGGTGCTTGTTTTGGGAGTGAGTGCTGTTAATGGCCTACCCAGATTACAGGATTACTACATCATTAAAAACTGTGCTGTGAGTTCTTTGGGGCCTTGACAATTTGTGATTTGTCCACAGATACAAATGAGAGATCAAGAAATCACTGCCACAGCCAAAGACCTGGAAATGAGACAGCTGGAGCTGGAGTCACAAAAGCGACTTTATGAGCAGGTAGAAGCCAGTGTCTGGGAGGAACCGCTGTCCTTCAGCCCTGTAGACTGCTCATTTGTGGTGTAGGTTGTCCATCTTGTTTACTCTTGAAGCAGAGTGTCATGTCATCCAGGACTGTAAGTTAGCAAATGTCGGAATGCAGTCACGTGATGCTTGGATTCCCAGCTCTCCAGCACTGCGGTCACAGGTCTGCGGTACCAGCTGGACCCCAGCTTTGGCCTCAGGATTGCTTCCTGTTTGCCAAGCTCTCCAGCAGGCGTTTGTGTAGCAGTGACTGAAGTCACCCCATCTGAAGACCTGAGTCTAAGCTTTTCCACCCTATACAATGTAGGGTGCTCAGAATCCAGGACCCTCCCTAGTCTGAACTGCTGCCTGATGAGCATTTAGATAAGGGAGATGATCCCCCGAACCTTTTGTAGAAACAGGAAGCAAGAAATGTGAAATACTTCAAATTTAAATTGTCTAGAATTAAATCAGCAAACATATAGTTAGGGTATATATTTCAGTTTTTAAGCTGTGAATGCAAGTTTTTGAGAAAAACTTTTTCTTATTCATTTGGTGTTAAAACAGTATGATGCAGTTCTCTTTCTGAATGGCTGTGGATCTTCATAGTTACTGTCTGTGGTAGCTGCTGTTGAGCCATACATTATTTAAACTTAAGTGTTCGGGCTGGAGAGACATTTCAGTGGGTAAGATCCCTGGCTGTTCTTCCAGAGGGCCCAGGTTCAATTCCCAGCACATATACATGGTAGCTAAAAAACATCTGTAACTCTACTTCTAGGGTGAAGGGTAGGGTAATCCAGTGCCCTCTTCTGGCCTCTACAGGCATTATGTGCACACATGTGATGCACTTAAATCCATACAGACAAAATACCCATACATGTAAAATAAAAATAATAAATCTTAAACTTAAGTGGTTTACAGTTTTTAGCAGTTAACATCTTTGTACGTGTACCTTTTCTGTATGTAATTGAAAAATATTTTTATTTTTAGGTAATCGTGAAGGTAATTAAGCTGCTTGTAGATCATTATAAAAAAATAAAAGAAAGATCTCTGACTCCAGAAATACTCCTGGGGCTTGATCAACAGCACAGCAGTTAAGAGCTCCCACAATGCGGCTCACCAACATCTCTGACTCCAGCTCCAGGCCTCAAACCCCCTCTTCTGGCCTCCATGGGCATTGCACACACATGGTACACATACATCCATGCAAACAGAACACTCATACACGTTAAATGATTTTGTTTTTTAAGAAAGAATTCCTGGGGACTGGAATTTCATCTTACAGTTTTAACATTGAGTAAGTTCAGTGGTTAGAGCATGTACTGCGCTTGCAGAGAAGCAGGTTTAGTTCCCAGCATCCATGTCAGGTGGCTCGCAACTACCAATAACTCCAATTCCAGGACTTCTGAGGTCACCTGTGCTTCACATACACACACACACACACACACACACACACACTTTACAGTAAACCTTAAAAGAAGAAGACATAACTCCTGGGGCTATATTCAGTGGTAGAATACTTGATAGAGCACACAGGCCCTGTGTTTAATCCCAATACTGCAAGAAAACACTGCTGTCACTCGCAGTGGTCAGTAAGCCGTTTGCTGTCTGCCTTTTGAGCTTACTCGTCATGAAGGTTGTGTGCTTCCCACATGCCCCAGCCCTGGTACCGTGAGCATCATTTCCCATTTCCCCACCCCGGCAACTTCTGGTCTGTTGTCCATCTCTGTGGATTTGTCTGTCTGGATATTTCATTTAAATGCAGCTTATGTGCAGTGTCTTCTGTGGTTGGCTCCTTTCACTTAGCACAGTGTTTTCAAGGTCATGTTGTAGCATAAGTCAGTGCTTTAGTCCTTTCTATAGCTGGGTAATGATACACTGTGTGAAACAAATGTTTCTGGTCTCTGCTGAGGAGCCCAGGGCATCTATCGTGTGCACCTTCAGCACTCAGCTAGGCAGCTTGCAATCCCAGCTTGAGTTTCACTTTCTGATTGTGTGAAACTACAGTGATAACCAGAGTGAGAGCATAGGACTTGCCAAGGTTGCTGTGTTTCACAGGCTGATGGGAGCTGTGGGTGGGGTGGGAATGGATCCCTTCGTCCTGAGCCATGTTCCCCAGCATGCCTCACACCTGTTAACATCCAGAATTCAGAAGTTGATTCTGAGCATGCTCGCCGTTCTCGGTGCATTCATGGAGAAGTTTTCCAGGGTCCCTGTAGTTGGCAGCAACGTCACCCCTGTTTCCTTATTACTTTGATAATGACACCATGACAGTTGTCCTTGAGGCCTGAACAAAGCAAAGTCCCTTTGTGTTCCCCAGGATCTTACTAGAAGTCAAGACACTATTGCAAAAGAAATCCAAAAAGATGCAGCTGCCCACAGGCAGAAAGTGGCTCTGGAAGACCACATGTTCCAGAAGCTGCTAGAGACCAGCCAGATGGGGAGCAGAAGGACTCAGAAGGTGAGAGCCTCCCGAACCTGGGCCACAGCGGAGAGCACACATTTGGAAGGTTTGAAGTCACAGTAGTCCAGCTGTTGATTTTGTCTACCTCGGCCCTTAGAGGCTCCAGGCTTTGTGTTTCTGGGTTGTTGACTGCATTGGCCACATGCGTCTGACATGCCCTTTGAGAGACCGTTAAGACCTGGAAGAAAGCATAGGAAAACTAATCACTTACACATTATTCAGTCCTGCTGTCTTCTCAAGAATTGTCCCTGAGAGCACAAGGTCACAGAACCTCAGGGCTCCGCCTGGTGTACAAGCCAGACTTTCCAAAGCATCCTCTGTGGGAAATTCGTAACTCTTATTCAGTAACATGGGATGGTCAAGTCAGGATGGGAGACACTGGTGTAAAATGAGGGGCTTGTGCCAGAGTTGAGGATACAGTATATTGGTGAAGCCTTAAGAAAAAAAAAATTCCAATTATCTTATAGCTTTTTTACGAAGTGCCCTTTCAGAAATGCTAGCTTAAGTGGATTGAGATAGGACTTGAGATGTTCAGAAAGAACTTTCTCTGAGGTCCCTTTAACATAATGGTAAGTGTGTGTGCCCAGGCTGGCCATATTTGAAAACAAATCAGGAATGGGGAAGCTAGGAGGGGCCTTCTGCCCCAGTCTCTCGGCTGCTTCCTCTGAAGAACCGGACTGTTCTCTTTCTCTTACAGGTGTTTGTACATCTGAAAAGGGACTTTTCTCGCTGCTTTTCAGCATGTTAAAATAGAAGTTGCTGAATCTTCCCTTTTCCCTGACCTTGAAGTTCTCAATGTTGACTGGAAAAGCAGTCACTTTAGGAGTTTAGGGTTGCTTTGAGAGAGGGTCTTACTACCTAACCTTGAGCTGGCCTTGAACTCACAATCCCACTCCCCACCCATCCATGTCTGCTCTAAAAGAGAGCTTTTAAACTCCCTAAGCTGGCCTGGTGGTGGATTTAATTGGTTTATGGTAGGGCCTGGGAAGTCAGTTTGTTTAAACACCCTGATGATAACTGTACCACATCACACAACCTAGCAGACTCTGGGATCCAGTGAGTGGACGTCCATATTTATATGATTTCACCTTGTTTCTGAAATTTACTTTTTCTTAGGTAATTGAGGACAATTTGGCAAAAGCTGAGCAAGCCTGCCTGAATGCTGACTGGCAGATCGAGGCTTTACATAAACAGAAATGTGACGATCTGCTGCGCAGCGAGGGCTACCAAGAGGTCGCCACCCTCCTCCGGAAGAACAGACGGAGAGAAAGAGAGCTCTTAAATGCAATGATGCGGGAGGAGGCGAAGAAGGTGAGGGGAACCTGGGAACGTCTGGTTAGCCTGGTCAGCTCATCTCTTGCCTTGCTGGCTGAGGACTGGGCCCTCTACCACTGAGTTATTCCCCTAACCTGTTAAATGATCAAGATATAATGGGCTGTGTCTTGTTACTTTATTCAGGAACAGCATCTGATACTGATGCTACGTGTAAGTAATCCGATGTCTTTCTGGTTCATGTTGTTGTCTCAGCTCACCCACTCCTGGGTTTGTTCTCGCCGATTTGATAGTATTACTGCCTTAATTTACCTAACTCTTACACTTGAAATGTAAAATGAATTTAAATGGTAGACACTAGCCAGGAGTAGCAGAACCCAGAGCAGTGTATCTATGAAGAAGACGGAAGTACTTTCTTTTTCAGGAGGAGGTGGGCAGCCTGAAGTCCGTTCCGCAGCTCCGCTGTCTCAGACTCTGATCTTCCTGCTCTGCCCCTTACTGTAGGGCTTTCATTCTTTGTCCCTCATTCACAATGATGCGGAGTCACAGCCGCCAGGTGTTGAAGAGTTTGTGTCACAGCTGCGCATCCTTTGGCTGACCCTGCCAGCCACTCTGGGACCTTAGGAAAGTGGCCTTTCTGAGGATCCTGCTGGCCTGATCCTTTGGCTCAGGCTTTGGGTAGCGATATAAGTAGCTAGCATCTGTGCCTCCCTGTCCTGCTGATGCCCTGTGATATCTTTTTCTGAAAGCTAGCCCCTCACTGCCCTGTCCCAGGTTCCCTTCCCACCTCCCTCCAGTGAGGAAGAGAAGCTGTCTTAGAGCCCTTTCTTTCAAGGACAGGTAGGAAGGATGGGGTGGGGGGCAGTACCCAAAATCCTGAGGTTGTTGGCCATAGGAACATTGTGGTGGGAGCCCTGTCTCCTCGAGGTGAAGATTGCTAACACCGTCTCAGCAGACTGTAAAACTTGGTGTGATTCACTTGGGGTCAGATACTATGTTGGAGAGGAGACTGGGAGTCCTTGTGAGGGCATCTGCTGCTCAGTCCTTTGTGTCCGGCATCCTGGGTTTAAAGTTAGCTTTACTGTAGTGTGGTCTTGGGAAAGCAGGCAGACTCTGCCCTGACCAGCAAGGGGAAATGATCTCTGCTGCCTTTCTGGCCTCAGAATTTGAGGTTCTTTAAAGTTTATATTTAATGAATTGGTATTTTAATCACAAAAATTGTATGTGTGTTTCCATGTAAAGGCTGTAGCATTTGGGGATGTTTTAAATTCACTGTTTGGTCATCCTCTGAACTCATTTTAAGATGAATTTTCTCATTTTTTAGGGGAAAGAGCTGGAGCTAGTAGAAGTCACTAGACTTTTATGATCAGTGTGTTCCAGAGCTGAGCAAATAATTAATTCTCTGAATTTTGTAGTCTTTGTAACTTAGGCATAGCATTCACATTAAAGGAATCTAATTCCCGTTGGTGGGAAGCTAGCTGAGTCTGATAAGGCCTGGAACCTGTGAAAAGGAGTTGCTGCTTCACTGCCAGCAAGACCTGCCTCTGCTCTCGGGGTTCTTCCATAGCCACAGGCCACCCCAGACACCCCGAGTCCCACAGTACCACACAGGTCCTGTGTGTTTCTCAACTATGAAGGAGAGAGGTAGAGGAACCGAAGGGGCTCATTCTGTTTCCGGTTCCTAATGGTCTTTTTGCCTTGTTGTGTGCAGTGGAAGGAAGCTGAAGGAAAGGAATTTCATTTACGATCAGAAAAGAAAGCCGCTGCCCTTTCAGATGCCTCCAGAAAGTGGTTTTTAAGGCAGGAGACGAGTGCAGCTTTGGAACACGGTGGAGAGCCACTGAGTGAAGGTGAGTGTGCGTGGGATCTGCACCGTTACGGTCTCCTTAACATGGTCTGCTTCCAGGAATACATTCTGCAGGTCTGTTTCGTTACTGTCATTCAAATCATGCTCGGCCGAAAGGTGGTAGTAAGTACCCTTTTTAGGAGGAGGGGTACAAGGGAGGATAGACTGGGGGATAGAACTGATAAAAAACAGAGTGCCTGTCAAGAAAACAGCCTTGAGCACGGGACAGAACTTGGCAGTAGAGGCTTGCCTCACGTCCAAGAAGCCCTGAGTTCAGTTCCAGCCCAGGGCCTGATAAACTAAACAAAGAAGGAAGGAAAGTCAGCTGCCCTGGAGAACTGTTTGCTCCAGAGCTCTGTGCTCTTCGGTGTGCTCCTCATCTTCTGGAACCTGGTTTGTTCCCAAAGAACTATTTCTAATTTTAGGAAGGACGTGTGCCTAACTCTCAGGCTTTAGGATAAGCTTGCAACTGTGTCAACTGAAAAACCAAAACTCTATTGGGCTGCTGAGGTGACTCAGCGGGCAAGACCCCTGGTGCCGTGCTTGACAGCCTGAGTTGGGTTCCCAGAATCCACATGATAGAAGAGGAGAGCTCACTCCCACTGTTGACCTCTGACCTCCACACGTGACTGCAGCACACGTGTATACACACATGCACAGAATAAATGTAATTTTAGGTGAGAATTCTAACGGAACGGTCTAAAGTAGAGTGCAGATAGGGGTTTCCTTTCACTGCATTTTCTGCCGTCGGTAAGTGGAAGATTATCCCTTTGGAAACAGCAGCTTCACTGGTACATAGTTCTGCTGGTGTACAGTTTGCCTGCTTACAGTACGCAGTCAGTGCTTGTGTTCAAGCTTGGTGCTCCATGTGTGCCTGTAACCCAAGCACTGAGGAAGATGAGGCTGTCGTGAGTTTCAGGTCTGTCTGAGCTACGTAGTGGATTTTAGGGGAGAGAGAACAAATATATCCATACAGTGAAATCTTATTCTGCTATCAGAAGGAATGTTCGTGATTCCGAATGGTTGACCTTGGAAACCTTGTGTCTGGTTAAAGAAGCCAGACATGAAAGGCTGCATGCCCACTGTGAGAGCACATCCATAGAAACAGTCAGGATGGCAGTCTCTACAGCTAGGAGGAGACGAGAGGGGGCCAGAAAGTGGTGCAGAGTGATTGCTAAAGGACATGGGCGGGGGGGGGGGGGGGGGGGGGGGGGGGGGGGGCGATGAAAGGGTTCTCAAATAGGGGGGGTGGTGATGATTATAATGTGAATACATTTATTATACCAGACTATTCACTTTAAAAAGATGAACTGGCCAAGTGGGGTGGTACATTAGTATAATCCCAGCACCTGGGAGGTAGAGGCAGAAGGGTCAGAAGTTCAAGGCCAGCCTGCACTACATGAGACTCTGTCTCAAATAAACGGGAGTATATGAGATATAAGTATATATTAATAAGACAGTTCCTCAAAAATAGAAGACATTGGGGGTCAACAAGAATCTCATTTTTCCACACAAGCCTGATGAGCTGAGTTTAATCCTCCGAACCGACGGTAGGAGAGGAGCAGCTCCTGAAGGTTGTGTGCTGACCCCACACACTCGGCACGTGTGCACACGCTGCACCCACTACAAAGTGATAGTGAACAATAAAACGACACTGAGAAATACTGTGGCCAGGTAGGGCCCTGGGACCAGGTTTCAAAGTACTCGGTGTTGAGGAAGAACAGGGAGGGCTTAGAAGAAAGAAGGTGACATGGGGCAGATGAGCGTGCAGGGGACCCAGTGCAGGACAGGGCCCTCGGACCCTGGCCTGAGTTCATGGGGATGAGTAGAGCCACAGCCACTGAGCTGTGTGCCTTCGGTTTTCTAGTCTCCAGTTTCCTGTTGGTAAAATGAGAAGATTATAGTCTGGGAATCTTGAATTTTATTACAGTTCTAGCATTATATTACACTGTTTTTCCAACCACCTGTCATTTCTGGGCCTGTTTGATAAACATGCACATAAATATATACTGACAACATTTTCTCTAAGAATTTTTGTGGATTTATCACCCATTATTCCTCATAAACTGTGAGGAGCGTAACTCAGCCTACCCTGGTGGTCTTATTAAGGTAGCTACAGCAGATAGTCCATGCCCATGGATGGCTGTACATATCTTGGGCCAGGAAAACATGTGGCCAACTTCAGGAGTCTCAACTACAGGACAGATGCACTGGGGGATGGACACAGCCACAGATGGAAGGGTGTCTTGTGCTAGGCTGGGAAGTGGGGCCCTGGCCTGTCACCAGGCTACTCGGCTAGCTACATGGTACAACCTGGGGAGGCACCAGGACAGGTTCCCCTGCAGTGAGTTCCAGGCCAGTGCTCAGAGTTAGGAGAAACAAGAGACCTGGTGATACCAACTCATTAAATGAATATTAATTCTTGAAAGTGAAGAGTCAGGGGCTGGGGAGATGACTTAGTGAGTGAGCGTTTACTGAGCCACCATGAAGACTGGAATTCAGATTCCTCAGCATCCAGGCGAGTGTTAGGAGGGCATGGCAGACTGCCTGCAATCCCAGGGAGCCAGAGCCAGAGGACCCCGGAGCAAACTGCTGACTACATGCATTGGGCAACTTCTGTTTGCAGTGAGAGACTGTCTCAGTGTGGAGAGTGATAGAAAATGGAGAGCGATGAAGGAAGACACCTGACATCAGTGTCCTGTCCTCATATACACACGAACACACGTGCCTGCACATCCACATACCCATGCACACACACGTGAAAAAAAATGAACCACCACTGGAGCCGAAAAGAGCCTGCTTTGAAGGAAGAAAGACAGCAGACTGCAACCCAGAAAGTGTAGGCACTTTATTTTTATTCCTTGAATGTTCAGGTTTCCTATGATGAGCATCTTTTAATACACTGCAGATTGTTTTAAATCCACATATATGGAACCACATCTGGCTCATGTGCAGAACCGCATTGGTGGGGATGCTCTGGCTCATGTGCAGAAAGAACCGCATTGGTGGGGATGCTATGGCTCGGTGACTAGTGCAGTAGCTGACTGAGCAGAGTAGGGCTGAAGTGGCATGGCTAACTCAGCTTCACAGGTGAGTCGGCTGAGCCAGTGCTGGAGATTCTGCTGCAGGCAGAGGAACGCCAGTACGTGTTTGAGCAGGAAAGCATCCCTGAACAGCTTCTAGAGATGGCGAACTAGACAGCAGTGGGCAGCATGGGCTTCTGGGGCAGGCAGATCTCAGCTCTGGAGGGGTGAGTGAGAGGAGCCAGAGCCTGGCCTGTGGTGCTCTGCTGCATGGCAGTGGTGGCATCACCTACACTGGGACGTTTGGAAGCTGGCCAGCTTGTTGCATGGCCCCCCTTTCTTCCCTTATGTATAGCTTTTCCAGTGATTTCTTTCTAGAAGTTCTTCCTTGGAGCAATGCAGATACTAGCTGCCTCTGTTACAAGACAGCCGTATTTTGATAGTGGCCTTTGTATCCCATTCCACCACACCAGTTCAACGTAGTAACCTGGCAGTTGCTTTGTCTTAATAACTCCCTGAGGTCAAACACTTCACTTAACTCTCCCTAGATCAGGTATGAGGTGGGCATCACAGTGAGTTGGTGAGACCCCTGTTCTTGTAAGCCTAGACCTTGGATGGGAGTTAGAACAGATGATGGTGGTGATGACGTAGGTGAGACAGATTCTAAGGCCTTGCTATCAGATGTGGGGCAATGGGGCTTAGGGCAGAAGTGAAAAGCTGAAAGGCGAGTGTGGTTTGTTGATGTTTTGTACTGGGTGCGTGTGTATGGGCATGAGGGTTCTCTCCTTCCACTGCATTGTCCTGGGGATTGACTCTGGTAGTGAGGTTTGGCAGCAAGTGCCTTGACCTGCTGAGCCTCCGTCAGCCCTGTGTGAGGAGAGCCGTTAATGACCAGCACTGTCCTGGAGTTTACTGCTGCGCTCACTGCTCTGATCAGGTTTGCTGTCCCTGATGCTCACAGCCGTTCTCGGGGACCATTTGCTGACACAGTCCATAATCTCTTTATTAGTATTCGGGATCACCACCTTGACATCTCTTACCAGGAAGGAAATCTGGAGCCTGTGCGTGCTGGGACAGTGCTCTACCGCCAAGCCGCGCTTTTAGCCCCTGATGCCCATTTCTTAGCGGTTCGTTGCCTTTTGTTTTAGTTGCAGCTGTTCCTAAAAGCCATTAGCAGGGCTTCGGTGCCGCTCTCCACGTCTGAAACCGCGTTCCCGCTGTGTGCTGACCGGCAGCCGTGTTCTTCCCAGGAAGAAAGGGGGTGGGGGCCACTCCTTCGAGTGAGTTTGCCAAGCACTGTCTGTCTTAGGAAAGGGTCTCTGCTCACTCTCACACATATTTTTCCTCTCCTCCCCTTTCTAGCGGAATCGGAAGCGGAAGTGCCCTGGTTGCAAAGGGAACACATGGCCTCAAGCTGTTTGCCCCAAACCTCACAATTAGATGACATTTCTGAAGTGGACTCCTCCACACAGAGTAAGTTGGTAAATAAGGAAGACAGTCATGTTACATTCCACAGCGTTTAAGCAGAGTGGAGGCTGAAGGAGCAGGTAGAGCATGGGATGTGTCGGGGGCACTGACCACAGGAAGCCCAGAGCGGGACAGCTCTGCTGGGAAGACAGGATGGGGAGCAGCCCGGACAGAGATCATGTGACTCCAAGTCTTAGACCCAGTACTGCTGCCCCAGAACAGCCAGGGCGACACTGACTGGATGAGGAACCTGGATCCAGCGCCCCAGCCCCACCTACACCCACACCCCCAGCCCCACCCCTGGTCTAGTAGACTTTTAACTGGCTTTCCAATAAAGCTGTTGTATAGGTGAAGGCAAAGTTTGATTTTTTGAGGCCTTTTTAGCTCTCTTAGAAGACGAGCTTTATCAGAACTATTGCTAATGACAAGTCATGAAATTCCAGTACCCATGAAGTACTTTTGCTGAGTCCTGTTGTGAGGATCCAGAAGTTCTGTACCAGAGTAAGAAGTAAGCCAAGGATCCTGTGGGAGGCCACTGTAATGTAAGAGGTTCACAACTGGTCTCTACCCTGACACCCCAGGATTAAACCTTTTCTTTTTCTCGGACTTGAATGTTTTTGTGGACGAGGTTCACTGTCTTCCCCAGGCAGCTGGAGCAGGCCTGGCATTCCAGCCTGCAGAGCGGCCGGCCGGGACCACACACAGAGCCCTGCTGGAGTTTAGACTTGGGCCGAATAACCTGTACTTCAGAGTAGCTGGGAGGAACCGGCTGAGCTCGGGTTATTTGGCAGCGAAATGAAAGCTGCCTTCCTTTGGGGGATGAAAATCATTTTCAGAAACTGAAAAAGCTATTTAAATATATAAGGGGTGCTCCCTCGATTCTGATTCCGTTGATCGCAGCCCCTCTGTCAGGATGGAGCACTGTTTTAGGCAGGGTGTTCCATTAGTCTCGGTCCGATTCCCCTGCCGTAGCTACTGCTGGAACAGCCCGTATTTGGGAAGGTTGCTGTGGTGTGCGTTTCAGCTCATGACTTGGAGTCTTGAGCATCAAACATGGCAGGATGTGTGCTGTCCTGAAGACCTCAGCTTCCCAGCCAAGCTTTGTACCTAATTTATATATATGATGTCTGCTCAGTAGCCAAAAGCTCTGAGTTCTCTGCTGACATTCATTCAGTTCAACAACAGAAAAGCTGGGAAACGAAGCCACATAGAGCTGGGTATTATGGCTGGCTTTTTGTTCCAGAAATGTTTTTAGGATATTGGTTGTGTTATTGATTTTTATGACGTAATTCCACTGACTGTAAGTACTATATTAGTATATCAGAAAACTCAGCTGATAATAACTGTAAATTTCGTATTCAAGTTTTTTCAAGTAGGAAAACAACAGAATGGAACCACATGGAGCATGATCTTCTCAAGAAAGTGCGAAATCTTCGCCAGAGACTCACAGCCCAAGCTCGGAACCGGTGTCAGTCCCCTCATCTTTTGGTAACATAGAAGGCATTTCACCATGAAACAATCAGAGAGATACCTTTTGTAAATCAATGGCACTGATTTTTCAATTATTTATTCTAAACTTTTATAAAGGTTAGCCTTTTGTATAGAGAAATATGTCTATAAAATTATGTTTTCTATTGAATTATAATGCTTTGGGCTTGTAAAGGGCCTCTGGAATACTTCACAATAAAGGTGTTTAGAAACTGTTAAAGACAGGTTGTCTTCTTTGTTTACAAAGCCAGTGCAGACTTCAGAGCCTTTAGCTGATGAGATGGGTTTATTTTAAAGATAAAGACTAAATAAAGAGCAGGGCTCCATGGTCAGGGAGGCTGCAGAGTGAGTTCCGGCGCATGCCCCAAGCCTGATGGCCCGAGTTCAAACCCCTGGCCACCCTGGGTGGAAGGAGAGAACCAAGTTGTCCACACACTCATGTGCCCATCATAAGTAAAAGAATACATGTAATTTCAAACTAACAAGAAAATGGGGTTTGCTCCAGCAGCAAACAGGATCGGGCTAGAACCCTGCAGTTGTGGGATTGGCTGACTGGCTGCCTCCTGCTTTGCACTTCCGGACTGTGAGGCCTGTGGGGCCTCTCTGTGACCCCACCCATCACAGCACTGTCTCTGGCTCAGCTCCTCCAGCTTCTCCTGCCCTCTGCTGGCGGTAGGCAGAACTGCACTGCCACCGCTGCAGCGGCCTCCCAGGCCGCCCTTTCATCCCCAAAGGACCTGTGAGAATTGGTCAACAAGTATCTAAAGTTCCTGATGCAGTGCTACATACACATAGAGTAACTGTGTGGTGCTCGGCTGTGATTACGTTTTCTGGGGTCACTAAGAGTAATCTTACAGTAAACAGTGCTAGACATAGATTAACTGTGTGGTGCACTGCTGTGATTCGGTTTTCCGGGGTCACTAGGAGTGACCTTACTGCAAACCAAATGCATCTGGAAAATGATCTCCTTTGTCCACAAATACTACCCTGTCTTTGTGCAAACAGTGGTTTCCCAGGAGCACTCCCTAAGCCTGCACCTTTTCCGTGCTTACAGTAGAGGCATGTGGTGGTGGTCTGCCACAGAAACAGAATGTAGAACGTGACAGATGCTTTAGTGAAGGAGCCTGCTGACCCAAAAGCACTCAAGTTCTAAAATGCCGTGGGTCTGCCTGCCACAGCCAGCTGTGTGTGTGTGTGCGCGCCTGTGTGAGTTTGTGTGCACTACATACCTGCAGGAGCCAAGAGCTCAGAAGGCGTCAAGTCCCTGGAACAGGGGTCACAGGTGGTTATGAGCCATCACGTAAGTGCTGGGAACCAAACCCTGGTCCTTTGCAAGATTAAGGGTTGTAACTGCCGGACCATCCCTTTTAGGTCCTTTTGGACTAGAATTCAGACCTAGTCAACTTATCTTTGTGTGTGTGTCCTTGGACATAGAATTGTAACACCTCATGTTTTAATGTTTCCATCCTTGTAGCAAAAGGCATTTAGGACTACTCTGGCCAGAGTAGTTTGGGCATGACAGTTTTTATGCATTCTCGTGTTTTCTGAATCCTGCAGTAATCTTGAGGCTTTAGCAGCCTTCAGACCCTGGCAGAGTAGCCACAGGCTCTGAGTTGGCATTTCAAAGGTTATCATGTTTAATTAAATATATAAAAGACATTTCCAGTGATCTCTTCCTGCTTCTTAACACCATGTCCAGAGTCTTACCCAGAGTTTTTCTTTGTTTTCTTAACATTTTTTGAACTTTAAAAAAAAATAATGTAAATTCTCTGCAATTGAATAGACATTGAACTTGACCAAAATGTTTCACATTCTGATTGCATCTAAAGAATTTCTAAGGTGCATTCTTGAGTGTCTGAATGACTTCTGCATAATTGCTGTTTGTAAGACTTCTCTTTGGCACAAACTGTATAATATTGGGCTTCAGCCAAGTCCACATCTGGCTACACTCCAACATGATTGGGGGGCTGTACATATATATATATATATATGTGTGTGTGCATGTGGAGACAGAGGATAGCACAGGGCTATGCATACATACATGTACATATGTACATGCATGTGTGCACATGGAGACCAGAGGACTGCACAAGACTATGCATACATACATGTACATATGTACATGCGTGTGTGCACATGGAGACCAGAGGACAACACAGGGCTATGCATACATACATGTACATGTGTGTATGTGTGTGTGTGTGTGTGTGTGTGTGTGTGTGTGTGTGTGTGTGTGCACATACAGACCAGAGGACAGCACTGAGCATCGTTTCCCAGGTTCCATCCACCTTGTTTTCTGAGACAGGGCCTCTCAACGAGCCTGTAACTTAGCAAATACGCTAGGCTGGCTAGCCAGTGACCCAGAGATCCCCCTGCCTCCACCTCTCCATCTGGAAGTACAACTGTACAAGCCATGCCCAGACTTTTTTTTTTTAATGTGGGTTTTGGGGATTGAACTCAGATCCTCACGTTGGGACTTTACCAGCTGAGCTTTGCCAGGCAGCCCCTGTGGTGTGAACTGATAGGTGTTGAATCAGTTTCTACTGAACCAGAGGCCTTTCCCTGTCTATTTCCATTCATTCATTCATTCATTCATAGGACTTCTCTCAGGTACTGAACAAGATTTGAGCATTTTGGTAAAGGCCTTTCCACAGTGACTGCAGCAGCAGTTGACATGGACAAGGACTGTGCATGGTTTGATTTATGAACATGGGTGCACTTAGCAGAGATGCTGAATTTGACCCTTGATCTCATTGTACCGATCTGGGTCCAGTTCACACAACTAAGCAGGGCAAGTGTACCAAAAGACATCATAAACTCAGAGGGAAACAAGTATAGATGAGAAGAGAACACTGAAGTATGGTGATATTTTATTTGTACTGAAATGTGATTTTATTTGTATATTCATAAATAAAGTTGCCTGGGGGTCAGAGCTAATAGCAAGCCATAGCAGAAGCTGGGCCGTGGTGGTACACACCTTTAATCCCAGCTCTTGGGAGGCAGAGCTAGGCAGATTTCTGTGGGTGCAAGGATACAGCCAGCATGGAGAAACACGCCTTTAATCTCAATACCAACCATAGAAGACCCTGAGGTCTGTATAGATGGGCAGTGACGAGGAGGTCATGTGATTGGGCTTACAACCAATGAGAAGGCAGAACGGAAAGTCTATATAAAGACAGATACACAGGAAGTAGCGCACTTGCTGAGGAGGACAGCAGCGGCAGTGAAGGGTAAGGTTTTTAGTGCTTAGCTATTACTCTGACCTCTTGGGCTTTCATCTCTGCATTGGCTCTGTGTTTCTTATTTAACAAGATGGTTACATCTACACTGAAGGGTACCAAAGGCCCAAGAAGAGTATACCAGAAGGACAGACTTACAAGGGTCACCTTTCTACCTGAGCTAGTCTCTATCCCCAGGCAGCAGTGTCACAGTGTCGGGGACCCACACTGTCCCAACCTGACAGCTGAGCATGCACAAAGATTCGGGTGGGCAGACCCACATCCTGGGCCTTAGGTTGGCCCACCCTAACATCTACCCCATCTGTGACCTGCTAGCGTGTGTAAAGGGGCTGGTCCTGTGGAATGATACCCACAGGATCTCCATGACCTGGGGCAACAGCAGGGTATCTGGGAGGAGTTTCGGGGAGGGTCCAGTGATGATGTTGTACCAGAGACCTTGAACCAGACCAATGACTCATTGTAATGGACATTTTACAGGTGGGGCTGATGGGACAAAAGGGTGTATACTGTGTGACACACTGCAGCTCCCAATGCCACTAGGATGAAGGAAGAGGTGCTGGAAAGATGGAGGAGCAAGGTAGGTTGGTTGATTGGTTGGTTTTGTTTTTAATTATTAGGGGGAGTGTGCTGCAGGGGTGACAGGCAGATATGGAGGGACTGGGACGTGAGTGGGATTGGGGTGTGTGGTGTGAAAATCCCAAAGAATCAATAAAGATTTATGTTAAAAAAAAAAAAGATTCAGGGTGGGATGACCATACCAGAGGACCATGGGAAACAAACTTCATGCACAGACAAACCAAGGCTGGTGGTTATGCTAAGTGCACCTGGTAGCTGAGACCTGGAACCTGTCCATGCTGGGTTGGGCCTGCAGAGAAGTACTCATCAGTCAGGAGGCAGGTACACTCTCCTCCAGGATGCCCCTGAATCTCCGTCCATCCGTCCATCCATCTCTGTCTGTGTCTCTGACACACACACACACACACACACACACACACACACACTTTGCTGAGACAGAAGCGAGAGTAAGCAGAACCACACAGCTAGATGGCAGCTTCACAGAACAAAGAGGACTCCAGGGCACCGCTGCAGAGCAGAGTCGGCAGGAACACCACATCAGCGCTGCTCAAGCTTTCTTGGTTGGTTGACAACGTAGACTCAATATTGGCTTCTATTTGGTAAAACTGAGATGCCAACATTTGTCCGGCTTGATATAGAGCCTACTCCTTAAACTGTAGGTCATGACCTTATATGGAATCCTGTCACTGAATGTGGGGGGTCATGAAACTTCGACAACAGGAAGAAGTTTCTGAACATTAGCAACCAAAAATGAGTCCAATATCAAGTGCATGATGATTCTGGTGCTTATCCATATTGTGACATCACACAGCATAACTGTATCAAGTGCATGATGATGCTGGCGCTGATCCATATTGCGACATCACACAACATCACTGTATCAAGTGCATGATGATGCTGGTGCTGATCCATATTGCGACATCACACAGCATCACTGCAGCCTCCGTTCTGAACACACGTGTGCACTTTGCACTGTGCATTATGTCAGACTGTGAAATGTCAATGACCACTGCTTAAAACATCTGGGCTATGGTTCAAGATTATTGTATATTATAACTTCCAAGGTTTTTACTGCACGGGGTAAGTTTTTTTGTTCTTGTAGAAAAATAATGGCTTAATTATAGAAACAAACTTTTAATATATTCCTACTGTCACGCCTCAGCGTGCAAGCATCAAATTGGTGTATTTTAAGATTGTATCATAGTTAAAATATTTGATTTGAAAAATGGCTGCAGATATGGCTCAATGGTAGAGTGTTGGAATCTTCCCAGCAATGTCAAAATTACTGTTTGAGTTTAAAAAAAAAAAATCACTAAGCAAATTTTGGCTAGAGATTAAGTCAGAATTTCCAACCATTTCTGAAATGGCCCAGAACATACTTTGGTCACTTTGTACTACATATTTATGCAAAGCAGGGTTCTCAACACTGATAATTATAAAATCAAAATATCAACTTTGCGAGGTGTCTTGGGTGTGTTCCTGCTTTCTTGAGACAGAACTTGACAGCCCAGGCTTGCCTCAAACTTGCTGTGTGTCTGAGAATGACCTTGAACTGATCTTCGTGGCCCCACCTGCCAAGTGCCATGGTGACAGGCACACGCTCCCCTTCCCAACAAACTATCAGTCAACTCTGAAGAAGGCTGAAGATAATCTACACATTACAGTATCAAATTCTTAGCCAGGATTTAATTCACTGTATAAAATTCAATAAGTGCTTCCATCATACTGGCATGCCAGTTTGCTTTCTTTAATAAATGGTTAAATTATATATGTATACATAGAATTGGTGTTAAAAACTAGTTTTAAAATAAAAATACCCCCCTCAGTCTACCAGGAAAATGGTGGACATTCAAAGCATTCTTATCATGATCTTTCAACTCCCCCAAACACAATCAAGTTATTTTTCAACTTAAAAAAATAAAATAAAATTGTAGTTTCTTCTCAGTAAATTTTATTCATATTTATTTATTTATATACTTATAAACCCAGGGTCATGCAAAAATTTCTCAAGCCAAAAGGGAAGGGATCATGAGTGGGAAAAATCTTAGAAATCCCCGGTGTGGACAACGATCTTCAACGACATGATCCCACACACCACCCAACTCCAGGCTCTGAGCCCAAAAGACGGCTTTCGTTCAGTAAGGCATCCAATGGCGAAATCATCCGCAAAGCTGAGAAACTCCGTGGTGGCTCTGCTGGCCACCAGTGACAATAAGAAATGCCACCACCTATAGTTGTAGTCTGTGGTAGCAGGGACCCAATGAGCTTTTCAATCCCCCAAGTCAGCAAGGTGCAGCAAGCCAGTAATAGTCAGGGCTCTTTGACTGTTGACTATGTGTCTCTAAGAACGAAGCAGACGGGCAGGCTTCTAAGTGTAGCTTGGTGCGTGTAAGAGGAAGACCCCAGACCCAATGGCCCAGAGCCCTACTTGAGTCACACAAGGGGACCTGAGGCTCAGTTTCCACTTACCCTAATTCCCGTATCCCAGGCCCCAAACCTCTTGACTGAAGGGGAGGCAGAGTCTCCCTAAGGAAGGACCTGCTGTAGACCCGTGCTCGTTAGCTAAGTGTTCTCTGAAACCCCCCGCCCCACCACCACCCCGCCCCAGGACTCTTTATGGAATGAAAAGAAGGAAAAGGAAACCCCAAACTGTCAGGGAGCTGACTTACCTGCCAACCACTAAAGTTGGGGCTGGTGGCGTTCCAGGGGGTCTTCGGGGGAAGCGGAGAGAGCCAGGAAAGCAACCTGTGCCTATCTTCCGAGTACCTGGATCGGCCACTGAACTAAAAATGACACCCCGGAAAAGGACAGACTCCCCACACTGCCCCACGACCCACGGAAGAAGGGCTGTTACTCCGAGAAGAGTCCTCCCTGCCGCAGTTATCCAGGGCAGGGTTGCAGTTTGGAAGGCGGGGTGGGTTATACCCGACCCATCCCCACCTAACGTGCGGTATGACCTTTAGGTGGCCCGGCAGCCGCCTGCAGGAGCGGCCGAGGCCCCTGGAGTCCTCGCGCCTGGGCGGGTCCCCACGGCCCGGCTCCGCAGTGCGAGCCCCGCACGGCTCGCAGTACCCATCTCTGTACACCCTCAGCAGTACACCCTCCCAACCCGGGGCTGTCCTGGTCCCCAGCGATCGCCAGTTCATAAGGGCAAGGTCAGGACAGGGGCAGGTCCAGGGCCACCTAGGACGTAGCAGCCACTGCGGGCCAATGCAAGACACTCTGTTCTGCTACCGCGTCACCTGGTAAAAGGGCACCAAAAGTATTGTGCCCCGTGTGAGGATCGAACTCACGACCTTCAGATTATGAGACTGACGCGCTACCTACTGCGCTAACGAGGCACCTAGGCGCTGCTTCCGGCCTGATTCTGAAGACTCCGCTGGAAGTGCCCAGCGCGCATGCTCAGAGACTTGCGTTTCATTTAGCTGTGTTCTTCCAGAACCCCAGAGGTCCCTGCCCCTTAGGGACCTGCGGACCTTCGCTCGTGTCCCTCTGTCCATCACCAAACACAATGGGTTGCTAGCTAAGGTTGTCCTGGTGAGGGGGAGCAAGGGAGAGAGAGAGGCTGTGGCGAACTCACTTTTGTATAGCGTTTACACACTCGTGATCTTAGGAAACACGCATTAGGCACCTACTGTGTTCCCGGCCTCGTTCCGGATGCTGGGTTCTCAGGGACACTCTTAGCCCGAAGCTGCTGAGCGGAAGGAGCCTACGGTAATAATTTGCAAGCATGCGCGTGCCAGTGCACACTGTTCTGCGCCCCATCCCCACCCCCGACCCCTCAATCTCCCAGTGCAGATTCCACAAGGCTTTCTCCTGAGGTCACCAGGAGCTCTGGGTGGTCCAGCTCCGGTAAGGGTACAAGCCCCAGACCTAGCATCTGAGCGTCTCCTACCCCACCCCACCCCACCCCACCCCACCCCACCCCACCCCACCCCACCCCACCCCATGGCTCTTTACAAAAGCTCATTTAAACGCACTCTATGAAAAAAAAAAAAAACTTGTTGCTGGGAAACGGCTGGGGTTCTTGTTCTCACTGGCGTTGTCACCAACACACAACTACTAAAAGAAAAAGAAAACCAGCCAGACTAAGGCTAGGGATTTGCCAGTTTCGCCACTATTCTGTTGGTGTTTGGGTGAGTGGGCTGGCTGAGTGTGTGGGATTATTTGAGACAGGGTTTCCTATATCCCAGGTTGGCCCGGAACTGGCTATGTGGCTATGGACAGCCTTGAGTTTCTGAGTTTCTGCCTCCACCTTCCAAGTGTTGGGAGGTGTGCCGTGCTTGGCTAACATTTAAATGGGAGTAGGAAGTGAGCCTTGGCCGTGGCGCTGGGAAGGGGCTGTCCTGGAGTTCACAGAGCTGAAGGGTGAGAGCTGAGGCACTTTAGAGACTGGCTGACCGGACTGGGGCGGAGGCATCCCGGCCCCAGGGAGCCGTAGAGGCTTTCAGGGGACCTCGCAGAGGAGGAGCCTGAGGACATTCATTGCCCAGTTCTGTTAAGGGCACCCAGACTAAGAAAGCATAGGTTGGGATGCCGAGGGGACACCTGACTCTAAGGAGGCGCAGGCATTCCATATGACTGCAGACACTGGAGTTGGTGAGAAGGGGGATTTCACCAATTTAGGGGAAGCCCCCATGCCGCGTGTGTGTGTGTGTGGGGGGGGGATAGTCAGGGGCTCACCAGACCTAAGGGAGTGAAGCTGGGACAAGCATGGAGGAGAGTTGTCCAGACTCTAGGAAACCCTCCAGGCCTGGGAAATCTCGCACCCACAGCTAGCCCTGGGAAGACCTCAAACTAGACCATCCTTGGGAATCCCGCAGAAGGATTCTGCTCAGGTTGGGCTTCTGGAGGAAACCCTGCTGGCTGCAGACTCCAGATCCCAGGCAAGTGGAGGTGTGCATTGCATGCCAGCAAACAGACCCGCTCACGGGCCTGGCAGTCCCCGGACAGAAAAAACACCCGCGCAGACAGCACACCATGTCTACCTTGGTTCCGCGATGTGTTGAATAGCAGAGAACTGGAAATAGTCCAAGTGTCCTCCGAAGGGTCAAGACATCAGCAGGCAACAGGAATAAGTATTCATCAGTCCAGGCTATAAGGGACAACCAGCAAGGACAGCCAACACAGGTCTGAGTATGGGCGACCTCCTCTGTAAAATAAATGGGGGGTGGGGTGGGGTGGCTCCTTCATGTGTTAGTGTTTGCTCACTAAGTCGCAAAACAAAACCTAAAATACTAAAATCAATGAATGAATCATGGAGGGGTGGAAAACGTATAATTCAGGGCAGTTTGAATGAGAATGGCCCCCAGAGGTTCCTATGCTTGAATGCTTGGTCTCCATTGGTGAACTGTTTAGGAAAACTTGGGAGGTGAGGGGTTGTTGGAGGAGGTGTCCGCGCCCAGCCCAATCTCGAAATCTCTGCCTCCATGATGCAGGTAAGATGGAAGCTCTCAGCTACTGCACCATACCTGCATGCTGCCATGCCCTTCACCGTGATGGTCATGGATTAATCTTCTGGAACTGTAAGCAAGCCTCCAATTAAATGCTTTCTTTTCTAAGTTGCCTTGGTTAAGATGTCTTTTCACAGCAATACAGCAGTAACTAAGACAGGGTCCCACTCACTAGCAAGGACTGTAGGGAGCCTTTGGGTGTGTGAGTGCATGCCCAGCAGCACTCCACATGGATGCTCCAGATGGAGCCTCTGGCTGTGTGTGTGTGTGTGTGTGTGTGTGTGTGTGTGTGTGTGTGTGCGCGCGCGTGCATTGAGTCCAGAATAAAGGGTGGAAGGTGTCCCACATCCCACAGGGTCCCAAGCTTGGCTGGAAGTAAGTGAGCCGTGCGTGTCTCAAGAGCCACAGGCTGACAAGGCTTTCCAGGCTATACCTTGTGGGATTCCAGAAACAAGCTTTTCCCACCTCCCACCTGTGTGCTGACTCCATCTGAGAATACCTGACTTCTCAATGGAGACTCTAAAGCCAGAAGGGCATGGACAGATGTTCTACAGACTCTAAGAGACCACAGATGCCACCAGCCCAGACTACCATATCCAGAAAAATATTCAGTAACAACAGGTGGAAAAAGAAAGACATTCCACAATGAAACCAAATTTAAGTATCAACCTACAAATTCAGCCCTACAGAAGGCACGAGAAGGAAAACTTCAACCTGAAGAGACCAACCATACCTGGGAAAACACAAGGAATAAATAATATCAGACCAGCAAATGAAAAGAAGAAGGGAGAAATCCATACCACAGCAGCAAAACGATGGGAATCAGTACACATTGCTCATTGCTAACTCTCAACATCAATGGTATCAGTTCTCTAATAAAAAGACACAAACTCCCAGAACAGATTCAAAAACAGAATCCATCCTTTTGCTGCATCCAAGAAAAACACTTTAACATCAAGGATAGACATCACATCAGGGAAAATGATGGAAAACGATATTCCAAGCAACTGGACCTAAGAAGCAAGTGGGTGTAAATCTGATAAAATAGAGTTCAAACCAAAACTAATCAGAACAGATAAGAAAGGACACATATTCATCTAAGGAAAAATTCACCAAGGAGATATTGCAATTCTTAACATATATGACATAACCAAACAAAAGGGCACCCTAGTTCACAAAAGAAACACAACATATACCTAAAATCACATATTGACTCTCGCACAGTGGTAGTAGGTGACTTCAATACCCCACTCTCACCAATATCCAGGTCATCCAGACAAAAACTAAACAGAGAAATTCTGGAACTAACTGACATCATAAACCAATGGACCTAACAGATATTTACAGAACAATTCACCCAAACACAAAAAAATGTACCTTCTTCTCAGCAGCTCATGGACCTTTCTCCAGAATTGGCCCCATCTTTGGCCACAAAGCAAGTCTCAACGGGTGCAAGAAAACTGAAATAATATTCTGCATCCTATCTGACCACTACAGAATAAAGATGGATATCAACAACAGAAGCCTACAAACTCATGGAAACTGAACAACTCACTACTGAATGAAAAATGAGTCAAGACAGAAGTAAAGAAATTAAAAACTTTCTAGAACTGAATGAAAATGAAAACATAGCATACCCAAACTTACAAGACATAATGAAGGTGGGTCTAAGAGGCAAGTTCATTAGCACTAAGTGTCTACATTAAAAAAAGGGGGAAAGTTCATACTAGTAATTTAACAGCACACCTTAAATCTCTAGAACAAAAAGAAGAAACCATACCCCAAAGGAGTAGACGGTAAGAAGTAATTAAACTCAGTGCTGATATAAATAAACTAGAAACAAGCAAAACAACACAAAGAATCAATGAAACAAAGAGTTGGTTCTTTGAGAAAATCAATAAGATTGACAAAACCTTAGTCAAATGACCTAAAAGATGGAGAGAGAAGATCCAAAGTAACAAAATTAGAGATGAAAAGGGAGACATAAAAACAGCTGCTGAGAGCTGAGAGCTGGGCGGCGGCGGCGCACGCCTTTATTCCCAGCACCTGGGAGGCAGAGGCAGGTGGATCTCTGTGAGTTCGAGGCCAGCCTGGTCTACAGAGGGAGCTCCAGGACAGGCACAAAACTACACAGAGAAACCCTGTCTCAAAAAGAAAAAAGTTTGGTGTGTTTTTATTTCTTTTTAGGTGGTGTTTTATTTTATTTTATTGGTGTTGGTGGACTTTGTTGTTATACTGTGTTTTTGTCTGTTTTTTGAGAAAGAGCTTCAAAGCTACACAGAGAAACCCTGTCTCGAAAAACTAAAGAGAGAGAGAGAGAGAGAGAGAGAGAGAGAGAGAGAGAGAGAGAGAGAGAGCTTGAAGTTGCGTAGGTAAGAAGAGGGAGAGAATGTGGAAGAACTTGAGGGAGGGGAAGAATATCATCAAAGAATATTTAAATTTAAGAAATTGTTTTAAATAATAAAAAAGTTAACTCAATTAAAAATGGGGTACAGGCTGGGCAGTCTTAAATTAAAGCCACAAACACTTTTAATCCCAGCACTCAGGAGGCGTCTCTGAGTTCAAGTCCAGCCTGGTCTACAGAGTATGTTCCAGGACAGCAAGCAATACACAGAGGATCTCTCTCTCTCTCTCTCTCTCTCTCTCTCTCTCTCTCTCTCTCTCTCTCTCTCATTTTTATTTTTCCAGACAGGGTTTCTTTATGTAACAGTCTTAGCTGTCCTGGAACTTGCTTATATAGACCAGGCTAGCCCCTAATTCACAGAGCTCTGCCTGCCTCTGCCTCCCAAGGGCTGGGATTAAAGGTGTGCACTGCCCCCACCCAGCAAGAATTCTCAGAAGAGGAGACTCAAAAGATTGAGATGAACTTAAACAAATGTCAATATCCTTAGTTATCAGAGAAATGCAAATCAAAACTACTTTGAGATTTCATCATATACCAGTAAGAATGGCCAAATTCAATAGAACAAATGACAGCTCATGCTGGCAAGGACATGGTGTAAACAGAACACTCATCCATTGCTGGTGGGAATGCAGACTAGAACAGTCACTGTGGAAATCAGTGTGGCGGTTCCTCAGGAAGATGGGAATTGATCTACATCAAGATTTAACTATACCACTCTTGGGTATATACCCAAAGGATGCTTCATCCTACTACAGAGACATTTGCTCAACCATGTTCATTCATGTTCAACCATGTTCTATTCAAAATAACTAGAAATTGGAAACAACCTAGATGTCTGTCAGTGGATGAATGGATAAAGAATATGTGGTACATTTACACAACGGA